GCAGGCAACGGGACGCAAACCTTGGTCTTAATCAAGTGAAGAGAACGATCCTTACTAACTCAACCAAACTAATCTTTGTCGGCATGAATTTGCATTTCTCGCTAGCTAGGGTTAGTGATCTTGAATTTAGTATGACAAAAAAGGATAGTACTATAGAAATTTATTTGCCTAACTATAACCAAAAACGGTGAACTTACCACTTATATGATCCACAGTCAAACACGCTAGCTAATTACGTAGATCATATGTTCTTTTGTATATCTTCCATTTTATTTTCAAGTACATTGGTGATAAGGACTCGTATCATTTTCCTAGTTCCACAAAGTGATCAGTTTCGCTAATTTGCTTTTGGTTACAAATTGTGAAGCTGATCACATTAAGAAAATAAAATACGATAAATTCCATCTAGTTCATAATGTACCATGAACAAGTACTCTCAAAGAAAAAAAATATATTCTTTTGCATCGCTAAAAATATATCTCCTTATGCTTGCAACGCTCTATCACGTGACCAAGTTTCAACTTACATGGGAGATCCTTCCCAAGCCTAGATTAGTCGTTCATAGTTTACACCAAGAGTACAAGGGTCTGAACACTTGCGCAGCTAATTTGTTTGGCATGTTTAAATGTTCAATAATCCCAGAAGAAATCTAGTGCAAAAGACCTCCCATATATACTAATTAATTTGTAGAATTTAATTGCTCATATTCTTTAGACCTATATGTCATGCATGATTACTTGTTTCTTCACTCCAATACTAAAATTCTTGGATTATATATAATTAATCATATTAATGCAAAATCTGGTGCTGAATATTTTACCCAGAGATGATCCAATTCTAAGCATTTTTTTATTCTAAAAGAAAATACATTTCAATATTCTATATATTCTTTATGTCTATTTATTCCGTGTAGGATTACTGTCTAGACCTAACAAATAAACCTGCTCTTCATTGACCAACACTCCATGCCAATGGCAATGTCACTTGTCAGATACAGATAGTATACTCCTTTTATCATTTGCGAAAAAGGACACTAAATTGTCAACAATCTCAAGCTACTTCTTCAATTTGGTTGCGTTTACAATTATTTCTTTTAGATTGATGCTCTCCTCCCGTATAAAAAGCCTTACCACTAAAAATATTCCAACCATGTCATAGCATATGATACATTCCAACTTAATTATTACTCCCACTTTAATTCCTATTGGAAATCGATTCGAGCAAATTTCTATGTATTTTAAGATGCTGTTCTTCTTCTACCTAAACTCAAATTAGTCAGCCTTAAATATGATTACGTAGAATGTGACATAGCTTCGTAAATTATTCTAGTCAACTCTAAATTCTATAGAATAGTGCAAGAGTTATATATATGCACGGTATATACATATATGATTTCTGATTGAACATAAAACTGATGGATCGATCTAAATCATGATTTCTTTGACGCCAAAGATTAATTTCTACATCAGTCATATCAATTTGGTCACGACATTTTGTTCCACAGATAACTTAATCGTAGCAAAACATTATGTACCAAACTATTATTCGTCTTTGGATAATATATATCATTTGATCTCATTAAACAAATATGGTAGCCATGTTTTGGTCAATATAGCCATTTTTTATTAGTGGAAGGTCGTTTTGGAAATGATTATGCATGAGACGCGCAAATATTTATTTGTTTGTTTTATATATTACACACACACACAAAACCGTGTAAAAGGCATGCAGAATATATGAAGGCAAATTGAATGAAGAAACAATATATAAATAGTACTAGTCTACTTTGTATAATTTAATTCTAAAATGTTATATAAATTATTTTTTGTGAATATGATCGTTGACCATGTAAACATATCAAGATTCAAAAAATAATACTAACGCGGACTTTATATTTATTTCTGACCTTCAAGAAGCCATGTGAGATAAAAATCTCATATACAATTCTATAATAGTGATAGTAACAATGATGGTATCACATATTTTAAGTTAAATTACTTCTAATTGTCATGACAGTAATTAATGGGGAATCTGTGTGAGAAATAGAAGCACCGATGCCTATTGGTTAGGACTAAGGTCTGCAGAGTATACTATATAATGCAAGACATCAAATAACTGAACATGCACACAAAAGGAATTCAAGTACAAATTGCAGGGTATATCGACGAAAATGAAATTGTATGTGTTGAATGGATTCGAGAAGTTAGAGTAGTAGCTAAACCTGATGCAAATATACTAAAAAAGGAAAATCTCTTAGCTCAATTCTATATAGAGTGGATTCGCCCCTTAAGTTATGGCTCGTCTTTTTTTTTTTTTTTCTTTTTGTGTTTCTTTATTTTTTCAGGGCTCAAGAACCCTAAAAAATAGGGGAGAAGCAAGCCGAACCTCTAAAAGTGATCATTGTTCGCAGCTCACTAACTTATAAAGTATGTTAGCGCATGTCATGCATGCATACAAAATAGTGCACCCATCTAAACCCTCAAATCCGACACAAGCGGGAAACTTCTGTTAGTACTGAAGAACTAGAAAGTTTTCCAATTTAAAATCATTGGCCTAAGATATGAAATCATATACAACTTCATGAATGATAAGAGTTGCGGCATACCGCACGATCAATTGTGCTCCAATGCCCCTATATGCGCGTGATATTTCAATCTATCTAACAGCTAGTATCTAGGCTCAGTTAGTTGATTGCCTCCGATTATCGTCTTCATTATTATATTATTATATTATTTTGCATTGGAGAGTTTAGAAATGTAAACACAACATAGTCTTACATATCACTTTACCCGCTCTCATCACTAGACTAATCCTGTTTTCATTCTTTTTACTGAATGCATGATCTCAAGAATATCCTTTCAAGGATGATATATACTTTTATGTACGAGGTTCTTTTTACAGTTTTCTTTTTTGCTTAAACGATTACTTTATATTGAAGAAAGTTGAGGTTCTACCATAAAATTAATTGACAATACAGGGAGCAGTTCAACCTCTTATAAACTCTTACATGATTTGGTGCTAATGTAAGACTTTGTCCTCATATTCTTACACGCCCTCTGCAATTGAACAAGTATATTGTATATACAAAGATACATTTATACTAAGGATGAAGTTATCATTCACAAGATTCAAATTTATACTTTTTATTTGTAAATGAAAATAAATATCACTTGAAATACCTTTGTAAATTTTTCAAACATCTAAAAGAAAGGATTGTCATGAAGAAACCATCATTTGATCATTTAAAAAAAAATATAGTACAAGTGGTTGAACATGTATAATCAACCTTTACTTATTCATACGGACGAGCCTTAAGGCCTGCAAATTGGGATAAAGTACTTTTGGAGTCTGAACACTTAATTTTGGTTATATTTTGAGGAATAAAAAACAATCAAATTAGTTTGTCAATATGTATAATTATCAAACGAAATTGGTATTCGACCAACCTTTTTAATCTTGAGGGGATGCCCTTGACCGACTTTCAGGAAACGGGAAAAAAGCGAGCCACAAAATTCGGGGGTTTCCGTAACGGAGATGACGTGAAGGGCCAATCAACTAGACATAGGCGTGTGATGGAACAGAATGTCGCTCCCACGTGCCACCTACGGTCAAAAGACGGTGCCCAATCCCTAACACGTGTAAGCCCTTTCAGCAAACCGTTATCTTGGACATCTTGACCACCACACTACAACCCCTTAAGTGGTCCCTATCCTTACCCACAGATAATAAATACACTAACAAGCAGAAGTTACCATTCGAATCGAAAGGTCAAAAAAGTATCATGCGGTAAAGATCGTTGCATTTCAGTTTTTGATTGAGCCTCACGTGATATTTTCATATGGCTGACGTTAATCTGTCGTGGTTAGTCTTGGGGTTAGAATTGTCATAGCCTTAGCCCTGGCTGCAAAATACCAAGACTCAAAATAATAGGTGAAGAGTGTTTTGGAGTGATTTTGGCGCTAGCCATGTCTAAGGCTAATGGATGGAAGTGCTCTAAGTGGTTTCAATGTCTAATCCATGATCGATTGCAAACTCTGTGAATTAACGAGATTTCAACAACGGCAATTCTTATATCCCAGTAAAGAAATGTTAGCAACCATTTCACTTCTTCATTTCAATATTTTCATTTCTCTTCATGTCATCATACTTCACTAGCACTCAAAATTAAATTTTAATTATATAAAAATTCCCATTATTTTTCTCCCTTGTTATTGTAATTTATATTAGCATTTGCCTACACACTTTGTGCCTATGAACACATTTTTTTAGAAAATGAGAAGGAGAGAGAGAGAACGTGGGAGAAGTGGGAGGTTTTTGTTTTTGTTCTTTTTTATTTTTTATTTAATATTGGAGGTATTTTAACATCACCTGTAGGTGAGGCTTCAATAAAAAACAGTAAAATTTGGACTTATGAAATTACATTTTTGCCCATCATTTTTTTTTTTTGTGTGATAGAAGACTAAGTAATATTTTCACCCTCTTTTGGTTTACAAAGAGGGTTTCAATAATTAATAGAGATTTTGGTTTATTGACCAAAAAATAATTAAATTTTTAGTTTTGTGTACTAGTGGCATACATGTAGCAGGAATAGAAGTGAGAAAGTTAAAATGAAAAAGTAAGTACAAAGGTTACTATAGCACTCCCAATCTCAAAAAACTTCTTCAACTTTATGAAAATGTCATCTTTCTTAAGGATATTTGGGTTCATGTTATAATCATTTCACTTTTTTAGTTGTTGTGTTATTTAGAAGAGAAATATAAATGGAGAACGAGGAACGAAGAAGATGGGCTAAGAGATGTAAAATAATGTACATTTTATTTTTTTCCTCTTTACCGCTACTTTTCTTCATTTCTTTTTTTATCTTAAATACTTTTTAATATCTCAAACATAAAAAGTGAATTTTAGTAGTTATTTAGTTGGAAGGAAATTTATAAGAAAATGAAGAAAATAAACTATTGCTGTGAAACTGCCAAGTGCGCAAAGCAGCCAAAAGTAGCTAGCTAGCATCCCATCCGATCTACTCTTCTCTCTCTCTCTCTCTCTCTCTCTCTCTCTCTCCCCTTCCCACCCTCCTATTAAAAAATGGCAATGATAAAAATCAAACCTAAAGCTGATCTTCTCTGAAAATAACAAAGCAAGAATCTCATCCCCATCTCTCTCACATCTCTCAAAAGTTTCTTCTTCTTCTACCATGTCAAATGAGAGGAAAAATCCTTACCAGTACGATCCTTTCGACTACAACCCCCATGAGATCAACAAGTCAAGCTTTCCATTCTTCAACTATGGCAATTCCTCCACATGCCAAAATCAACCAGATGACCCACAAACCCTAAATGGGTTTGAATCTGATCATCCTAATCCGTTCATGAGCTTCACCGACTGCCTACACGGATCATTGGACTACAACACCCTCTCGAAAGCCTTCGACATGTCATGTTCTTCATCCGAAGTCATATCTCCACCGTTGGATCGTGATAACAACTCAAACAAGGCAGCAGGTGTAGGAGATCACTCAGTGGGGACTACTAGTACCACTGAAAACCCTTCCACACCAAATTATTCCTCAATATCTTCTTCATCTAATGAAGCTGCTGGTGCTGCTGGTGATGATCAAGTTTTAGATGACGATTCAGATCATAAGAGCATGAAAAATAAACAGCCAAAATTAGGGTCTGATGGAGATCATGAAGACAAGTCAAAGAAAGGGTAGGTTTTTTTGGTTCCTTGTGGCTAGATTCATGGTAAAGGTTAATTAGAAGTTTTAGTTGTTATTTATTACTTTCATTCATAATTTTAATTCCTCTCTTGGTGTATATGGATAAATAGGGCTCCCTAGCTTGACTGTATTTTGTCTGAAGCCGTTTCAAAGTCTTTTTTTTCCTTTTTATTTTTTATTTTTTATTATTATTATTATTATTTTTTTGAGAAATTCAAAATCATATTAACCAAATTAATTAACGAAAACTTTTTAGTGCATTTTTCTCCCCTTGTGTCATTAATTGAAGAGATATTTCTTTATTTATTCGCTTTCTCATTATCTTCCTTATATTTACCCTAAACCCTAAAAGCAAAAACTGGGATCTATATCTTGAACCCTAATCACACACACACATACATGTATACAGTAGGTCATTTTTTGGGCACAAACATATTTCAAGAAAAACTATATCTAATTTGTTCAGATCATTTTCGGAAACTGGGTGTCTTGTCTCTCTTTTTCTTTTATTTCTTTTATTAGGTAGTGCTAATTGTTGACTGAAGCTTCTGAAATTGTGAGATTCAGGAGCAAAGCAAAAAAGAAAGAGAAACCGCAGAGGGAACCACGGTTTGCCTTTCTGACTAAGAGTGAAGTGGATCACCTTGAAGATGGATACAGATGGAGGAAGTACGGACAGAAGGCAGTCAAGAATAGCCCTTATCCTAGGTTAATATATATATATTGATTTAATTTAATTCCAGTAGAAAGTACATTCCTAAAGGAAAAAAAATCCAATTGATAATGATTTGTGGATGTGAACTAATCTCCAATTTTTCAACAGCCGTTTATTTCATTTGGCCGGTCACTAGCCGTTATTTGATGATGAAATGTTTGTTACATGCAATTCAAATATCTATTAGTGGCCATTCATATATAGTTATAATTAATTTGCACTTTATGAAGTTTCTTTGATGCAACAATATTAGGAGAAGGATTTTGTTTAAGCGACTCAATGAATAAGCTATAATTAAGTAACAAATACGTTATTTATGGGAATCAAATCCAGTACCTCTAGTTAAACCATATAGGCTGCATTTGAAGTTAAAAACACTTTCTACAACGCATAAATTGCTCTAGTACACTGTCATATAAAAAACATGTTAGCCTTCAACTTAAGCCCTAATTAATCACGTATTAGTATAATGTTTTATGTACTTACTTTGGTTTGATATATAACTAGCTCTCGATCTAGTGGTTGATTTCACTCCACCTAAATATGATATTTACAAACTTTTTACATTTCTTAGTTAGAAAAGCTTATAACATGAGACATATGTAATTGATATATGTGGTGAACTCACACAAGTTTTCAATTACTACTTGCTTAAATTTTTCAGGAGTTATTACAGATGCACTACACAAAAATGCATTGTAAAGAAGCGTGTCGAGAGATCATTCCAAGATCCATCAATCGTGATCACAACATATGAAGGTCAGCACAACCACCAGTGTCCAGCAACACTTCGTGGTAATCTCAATATGAACGCTGTCGGAATGCTGTCACCTAATTCGCTTTTGGCAGCGGCACCTTTGAACGGATCAGCAAGATATTCACATGAATTCTTAGCTCAATTTCTCCCAGTGAACAACCAGGTGGAATTGCCAAATCATTACCATGATCATCCACCAAGTTCAATGTTATACTCAAACCTCATGAATCCTCATCGTCATCACCATCATCAGCAGCAGCAGCAACAGCTGCATGCTCCTGACTATGGTTTGTTGCAAGATTTAGTTCACTCGTTTAGTCACAAGCAAGAGCCATGAATATTTGTGAGTACTTTTCCAGTCGATCGGCGGGCAATTATAAGCACCAAAAGTATGATATTTGCAGTACTCTATATATACCACTGCAAGCAGTCCTACATTAATCTTTTGATCTAGCTGTCTCATTATTGCAGTACTGTCTTGTATGCACGCTATCTCTGACCCTGATCTGTCCTCTTCTCTCTTAAACTTTTGTACTCGGATTTTCTTTGATGGACTAAGAAACAGTATGGCTCTCAAGGTATAGCATTCAGTGCGTAGGGCGTACTAGCATAAATAACCTCCTCCATATAATTCTGAGGACTGCAGTGCATATTGTTCTTGTGCTCATAAATTTAGGACTAGGATTCTCTCCCCTTGCATCCCCTCCTCTCACATTCTTTATTTTTTCTTTCTTTTTCTATAAAAAAAATTAATATAAGATGTTGACGTAGCTTAACCGTGACCGTTCAAATAGAAGAGGAGGGAAAGTGAGGGAAAAAAAATAGGAGAGAGAATCCTACTCCGTAAAATTAAGGGCTAACTACATTTCACACTCTTTGAGTTTGGGATGATTTTTCAAAATGGGTTGTGAAGTTTTAATTTTCCCGTTTGCATCATAATGTATTGAAATTGGTTAATTTATGTCATTGGTCGAATTGATTGTTTGGTCCTTCATTAAATTGATGACATGGTGAGCTTGAGACTTTTATGTGGGCTACCATATATATATATATATATATATATATATATACATATGTACACTGCGTTTGTATCACATTGACAAAAAAACTCATCAATTTAATGGAGGATTAGATATTTAAAGAGACAAAAGGTGTAAATTGATACAATTTCAAAACTTCTGAAGACAATGTGAGAAAGATGGAACCTCAAAACCCATTTGGAAAATCAGTGTAAAATGTAGTTAATCTACTCGAAAGGGCTAATTACCGTACTTGAGGATATGGAGCTTTACTACAGTGCATATATGTATGTATGCAAATATGTATATATGGCTAGCATTGCAAAATGAGGGCTTAACTGTACGTGAAGAAATGGTTGATTGGAGAGCTAAGGTTAGAGCTATATAGGTTTTCTTTGCGTGTGAGCGTTCAAATAGTATATATGCATGGCTATTAATCCTACTAGAAATGATGCCCGTACGTTTAAGTTCTTCTAAAGGACATCCTCGAATAAGTAGACAAGTGTATTGCATTGTTAAGTGGTATCTTGTAAAATGAGAGGTTTTAGGTTTGAATATGTGGATGATGAATTCAGTACCATTTTATTCTTCATTTCCTAGTGTAAATATATCGTTTTATATATATGTGTATGTGTGTGTGTAACATTAATGCTAGGTAGATCAAAATTTTAAACTAAGTAATAATCCAATCATTAATAATCACGTCATATAATTACAAAATATGGTTTAAAAATTTTGATCTCTCTAGCATTACCCCCTATATATGTTGTTGTATTGTCTTATTGCTAGTGAAGATAGTTTACGGTGTAAAAGAATAAAATTTAAACTTAAGACAATTGCAAATCAATAGATATTGGATTAATTTCACAATTTATGTGTATGCGTGAAGATAAAATTAGGTGTAAAAATTGATGTGGTGTTAGAAATTTACTCAAATTTTAATACATATCGCGTATAAAGTTTATAGTGACTTAGTAGTGTTAATGCTTATACAAAACATTATATATATATATATATATATATATATATAAAATAATTTGAGTGTATGTGTAACACCTAACTAGCATGCCACTTGAGAATACCGATATACGTTGAGAACCTAATAAAAACGAGGGTTATTATACAAAATGATCCCTGAGATTTACATGATCAATAGAAATGGTCTCTGAAATTGAAAATCTATAGAAATGGTCCCTAAGATTGTCCACCATCTATGATTTTGGTCATTCCGTTAAAAATGATTTAGGGCAATTTTCAAAACTTTGTAACTCAATCGTTTCTTAACCAAATTCGACCCATAATATATCAAAATGAAGATAGGAAAGTGTAGAATAAGATTATACCTATTTGTAAGCCCAATGGTTGCCAGAGATGGCCGGAAAATAGGCTGAAAGGTGACTGGTCCGCGGGAAAACTGGAAAACTCGCCGAAAACTGGGTAAACTTTAAACGTTCATAACTTTTTCAATACTCAACGAAATCAAGCGATTCAAAAATCAAAATCATACTTCTTGACGAGACGAAGAGAATGGTATCTTTCTTTTTGCAAACTCGCAGTGGTTTGGCTGGAAAACTGCTCGAAAGTGGCTAACTCGAAAATGGTTAGCCACTTTCGAGCCGTTGTCCGACCAAATTACGTCGAGTTAGCCTTAAAAAAGGTACCATTCTCTTTGTCTCGTCAAGAAGTATTATTTTCGTTTTTGAATCACTCGATTTGGTTGAGTATTGAAGAAGTTATGAACGTTTAAAGTTTACCCAGTTTCCGGCGAGTTTTCCAGTTTTTCCGCGGACCAATCACCTTTCAGGCTATTTTCCAGTCATATCTGGCAACCATTGGACTTAAAAACAGGTATAATCATATTCTACACTTTCCTATCTTCATTTTGATATATTATGGGTCGAATTTGGTTGAGAAACGATTGAGTTACAAAGCTTTGAAAATTGCCCAAAATCGTTTTTAACGGAAGGACCAAAATTATGGATGGTGGACAATCTCATGGACCATTTCTATTGATTTTCAATCTTAGGAACCATTTCTATTGATCATGCAAATCTCAATGATCATTTTGTATAATAACCCTAAAAACAACATACTTCGGCTGTGGAACAAAACCCTAATTATTTGTTCCAATCCGTGGTACGCTATTGGTGGTTATAATTTGCCTCCGGAGTGTCCTGCATTGGCCTTTTGTTATAGAGGTTCTTTTGCCATCATCCCCATATAGTTTCTAAACTTACCCTGTATTTAGCGTGCTCAAACCTTTCCTCTTCGAGAAACTGAGAGTTGATCAGGTTGCTGAGGAATAATTAATAGGATAAATTACAGAGACTTCTATTTGTAATCATGAAAAAACTCCAGTAACTGTATTCGAGTATCATATCATATTGTTCAAATGATTTACATTAATTAAGCTTCTACTGCTGTACCTAATTAACTTGAATTTATTTTGTAAATTGCATGTTTTTCCTACTCTTCTATGACTACATACATCTTGTGTCGTGTGCATCTTTCATGTGTTATCTTCTATTCAAAGCTTCTTAATACGAACTTAGGGCACATATATATTAATAAGTAGATACACGTTATAACAAGAGTATGTTGGTAACACCGTGTAACGTTGTGACATCACACTAATGAGGGTTTGTTTTAAAACTACTTTTAAAATGGCTGAAAGAGCTTTCAAATAAAATATTTTTGGGTTTTAAAAGCACTTAAAGTGCTTCATGCAAAGCACCAGTTATGTGCTTCTTGCTTGAAGCAATAAAGTGTTTTTATTTTATTTTTATTTTTAAGAATTCACTTGCTATTTTTCTAAAGATTGGTTTTAAAAGAATTTTCACCAAAAAATGGTTTCAGCTGTTTTAAAAGTATTTCCAAATGGTGCATTTTTGCTCACCCACACTAACTATAGGGTATGCTCACCACCCATTACAATGCTTACCATGTGTAATCCACACTAACTCTAGTTAAGCCTAATTTTTATTTTTTATTTTTGCTTTAATTAATAGGAGAGAGAATCTTACTTTTACTCATTTACTTCCATATATATCTTTTCTTTTTAAATATTTTATTAAAACTTAAAACTCCCCTTTTTGAATACAAACAAGCTCAACCCTGCGCACGCATCTTCTGGGTTTTCCATCTACCATTTTTCTCCAACTAGAAAAAGGTATGCAACTCCCATTTAATTGCTTTTTAGGATTATTATAGGATGTCAATATATATGTTTTTCTTAGGATTATTATAGGGTGTCAAAATATATGCTTTCTATAATTATTATAGGGTGTCAATATATGCTTTTTAGGATTATTATAGGATGTCAATTTAATTCAATATTAAGTAATTTGATACTTATGCAGATGGAACACCAAGATGATGAGTTTCGTACTCCATCTTCCAGTGATGCCAAATAATCAGTTGATGGTATACACTTAGATTTAGATTCCGAAACCTTTGATGTCTTGGATTAAAATGAAGAAAAAGGAGAATTTACAAGCAAAGTTCGTGATATTTCACTGAGGATGACTTTTGATAATGAGGATGATGCATATAATTACTACATTGCATATGGTAGAAGGGTTGGATTTAGCGTGAGAAAGAACAAAGAGAATAAGGACAGGTCAGGTGTGCTAAAGAAAAAAAAAATTTTGTTGTTCTTGTGAAGGTTTTTATAAATAAAAAATAAAAATAAAAATAAAACTCCAAAGAAGAAAAGAGAAGAAACAAGATATGGCTACAAGGCAATGCTTGAAATCAAACTTAATTTAGAAAGGAAGTTTGTTGTGACAAATTTTGTTGCTGAACATAGTCATGTTCTTGTTCCAGCATCAAGTTCCCATTTATTGAGGTCACAAAGATTAATAGAGCCTTCTCAAGAAAAATTGATAGATCAACAAATGCATTCTGCAGGATTACAACCATCTCAAATCTTCTCATACTTTACCACAGAAGCAGGAAGGTCTCAAAACTAAATTTTATTCAATCTGATTGTAACAATTTGATAATGAGAAAGCGCATTGGGGTTCTTAAAAAGGGCAACTTAGAATGTTTGCTTGAATAATTTAAGAAAAAGCAAAATGAAGACAAGTCATTTTTCTATTCTCTTCAAACAAACGAGGAGAATGAAATAAGTGGTTGATTTTTTTTGTGATGGAAATTCGAGGCGCGATTATACTATATTTGGTGATGTTATGTGTTTTGATACGACATTCAAAACGAATAGATATAATATGGTGTGTGCCCCAATAGTTGGTATCAATATTCATGATAAAACCATACTTTTCGGATGTGGTTTGCTAGATGGAGAGACAATAGATGCATGTGAGTGGTTGTTCAAGGCCTTTTTACAAGCCATAGATGAAAAAGCACCAGGAACCATATTTACAGACCAAGCCCAATCAATCGCTGCTGCGATTAGTGAAGTATTTCCTAATTGCCACCACCGACTTTATTTGTGGCACATATATCAGAATGCTGTGTGGAACTTGAATCATGTTTTCAGTGAGTTTAAATCATTTACACAGGATTTAAAAAGATGCATATATGATCCGGAGACTGTTGAAGAATTTGAATCAAGTTGGAAAAGTTACTTGATGATTATGAATTGAGAGGTAATGATTGGCTAGAAGGGATATATCTATTATGTGAGAAATGGGCACAAGTTTATGGTCAAGACCACTTTTGTGCAGGTATTACTCTTGACTAATTCCTATTATATTATTTTTACATATTATTCACAAGTTTCTTTTTCCACTATATTGTGATCAATTTTCATTTTTTTTCTTAGGAATGACAACAACACAAAGAATTGAGAGCATGAACAAGTTTTTGAAAAAGTATTTTGCTCGAAACCTCCTTCTGCAAGAGTTCGTCGTCCAATATGATAAAGCGGTAACGAATCAAAAAGAAAAGGAAAGGCAAGCAGAAAATGCAACTAAACAGAAATGGCATAGTTTGTATTCTGATTGGAATGTGGAGATTGAAGCAACAAAGCAGTATACAGGTAAGATTTTTTATTGTTTCCAAGACAAGGTTAAGAAAGTTTTAAATTTGAGGCCACTAAAATTAGAAAGTGATGATGGACTAACACGTACATACACAGTAATGAATTCAGGAAAACGAGGAATTAATAGAACACTTATGTATGACCTTGCAAATCAAACAATATTGTGCAATTGCAAAAAGTTTGAGTTTGAGGGGATTCTTTGTGCACATGCTCTAAAGTTATACTATGATTTAGATTTGTCAAGTATACCATCCAATTATTATTTGAAAAGATGGAGTAAGGATGCTAAATGTAGTATTGGATTTGATTCTTATGGCGAACTGCCTGTGAGTAATTTAGACTCATCTTTCTTGGTTCAATGTAGCCAGCTATCTAATATAGCACAAAGAATCATAGCAAAAGTGCAAAAAATAGCCAAAAATGTAGTTTTTTGAATTCGGAGTTGTTAAAGTTGGAGAAAAAATTGGAAAAGCATGCCAATTTTGGAGAACAAGATGATGGAACAAATGATGTAAATTATGTTAAGATGTGACTGAAGTTGAGAAAAATCTTAAGATCCAAGATCCAAAAGTTCAGAAGTCCAAAGATTAGGGCAAAGGTAGAATGAAGAGTGCTTTGGAATCTAATCAACCTAAAAAGAAAGGTCCATAAAAGAGAAAAGGTTAGCACATATTTGGCTTGTTTTTATTTACTATTTGATTAACAGTTTGCATTTTTCAATGTAATTATTATTTTAATTGTTTAATAGCTTTTAAAGAATCCAATTCAAATGCATATAAGATGAGTTTTCAAATCCATCAACATCTTAGATCAAAATAAATTTGCATTTGGATATTGATGAGTTTCATCTCAAACAATTGTATTTTTTGGACTAGCTTTTTGTACAATTTTATTTTGACGAGTTTCATCTAAAACAATTGTATTTTGAATGACATCATTTGTCCTATTAGTTTTGTCACTGAAACTAGTTTTTGTTGGATATTGACGAAGTGATTTGATATGATTCGTATATCCATATAAGGTTAGAATCATATGTAGATGGAAGATCAAGCCCGCATATTTTAATTACCATAAAAAGAAAAATTTACACATATTTTGATTACCATAATCTACAACTAGTTACAGATCCTATTTATGATAAAAACTCATTACATGATCATACAATAGTAAAGATCCAAGTCATTGAAGTTTACAGAAACAACGACTATGAAGGTGTAATCGATATTGGGGTTTTAAGTTTATGTTTATGTTTTTTAAATTGGAATTAGTTGAGTCTGTTTGTATTCAAAAAGGGGAGTTTTAAGTTATAATAAAATATTTAGAAAGAAATGACATATATGGAAGTAAATGAGTAAAATTAGGATTCTCTCTCCTATAAATTGAAGCAAAAAAAAAAAAAAGGCTTAACTAGAGTTAGTGTGGATTACACATGGCAAGCACTGGAAGGGATGGTGAGCATACCCTATAGTTAATGTGGGTGAGCAAAAATGCACCCATTTCCAAATGAGCCATAATTCTCTCATTAACCCCTATGCACTCGTTCTCAATGACATTTTGGGTTCCTAATTAGAATTTAGGTTGCGTAATTAATGGTTTGTTTGTTAAACATTTTGTTTTTAAATTTTTAGTTTTCAATTTTTGTGCTTAAGATATGGAGAAAATTATATAAAAGAAATGAGGGATGAAGTGTGGTGGGAGGAAGATGAAGGAAATATAAAAACTCTAAAAGAATAATGAATGAAAACAAACTCTTAAAATTGAAAACAACTTGAAATAGTTTCTGACTTTTACTGTTTTTATTTTATTTTGTATCCTTCGTTACATTTCTTCTACATTTATCATACAATCCTTCTTCCATTCTTCATCATTATTCTTTCCTTTTATTTACATTTTTCACGTTTCAAGCCTATAAAATGAAAACAAAAAATAAAATAATTATCAAACGCCCCGAACGAGCTAAATTCCCTTAATCTTTGTAATGTTATCCAATATCCGAGCAAAACAAAAAAGGATTTGCTGCCGCCCACGTTTATCCAACCACAAAAATAGGGCTTTTGCTGAAAAATATCTACACGATGAGCGTTGGACAAAAAAGTCAAAAGCTAGACACCACTCACACTCAGAATTCAAATGTAGCAGCCTCTCTCAGGCTTCAGCTTACCCATTCCATGATTCATAAGCCTCCCTGTCTGGGAGTTCTTTGGAAACACAGGAAAAAAAAAAACCGACACAATTTACAGGTCCACAGCAAAAGCACTTGTTTGTCAGGCTGAAGAGGCTGACCAAATAATGCACTGCATTTTTCATACCACCCCATCAATGTATTGATGTCTCATTTGACTGAAATGCCAACCCAAACATCGAGAAATCAATGCAACTTCCTTGTGTTCCTTCTTATTTGCCATAAAATTTGAACTAGCTTTTGGTTGAGTAAGAATTGTGTCATGCAAATAACTTGAATTGGACCACCTTATTGATTATTTTTGGACCATACTTGTGCGTGAGAGTACATTGTGATTTTTAGAAGCTAGAGTAGGCTATTTTGAAGAGGTAGATACGTGGCTCGTTATGCGTAGACAACTCAATTGTCGTTACAAGCAATTTGACGAGTGTGCACAAACTTTTACGTATTTAATAAGTTACTTGAGAGATGGTTTTCACACAACCCTTTTAATTCCTCACTCACCACTCTTTGTTTTTTGCCATCAAATTGATTGAATATATCAAACAGAAATAATTGACATGATTAAACAAAGGTGTGTAAAAAGTAAGAGTGTGTTTATCATTTTCCAAGTTACTTATGCATACGTTGTCAACTTATTATTTACACATACAGAAAAAATAACTTATTAACGGTAAGGAGCCAGTAAGTGTCATTTTTTAGTGTTCCCTTTCTTTCTACAACTGAAAAGAAAGATTTCTGTTAAAGTATTGCTCCTGGTTGCTTAACGTACTACTTTAGGAGACAATGCATTATAGTTTATAAACTGACACCGTAATTCAAGTGCAACAAAGAGGAAGACAACACGACTGAATAAAGGGAAAAGGAGAATCATCATCATTAATCCAATGCCTTGTTTTTCTGACAGAAAATGATAATTTAAAAATAAAATTAATGAAAAAAATAAATAAAGATAATAGGTATCATTTCACTATCCGAAGAGCAGTAATCAATTACGAAACAGAACCCCCACTGGTCCCCAAGAAACATATGTACAACGAGAACCTCTCTCTCTCTCTCTCTCTCTCTCTCTCTGTGAAAATTCCCAGCTTATGGAGTTGGGAGCATCTCTCTTCCTTCTTGAAGGATCGGGATTGAATGCTTCGGGATCAAAATGCGCTATCTCCAATCCGAATCCTCTCATAATTTTAGAAATTTTGTTGAAAAGAAACTTTGAGATTGTATTGACGGGTTACTGAAAGCTACTTTGGAAGGTGACGAGCTAATATCGTTCACCAAGCTCACGCGTTTGTCAGTCCTATCCATGGCTTGTCTCGGATATTTGGCTCTCCAGATCCCCTGGCTTCTTTTCTAGATCCCCTGGCTTCTTTTCTATGTCGACAGAGGCAGAACTTTCCTTCATAGATTCCATATCCATGCTGGATGTACGACTCTTTCTGTTCCTTCGATCCTGAAAGCAAAGTAAGATTGGTAACACTCCCTTGACGATCATGGTAACGTATATGAACTTATAACTTCTGCACCAAATGTTAATCAATTCTCCGGAATATAATCTGAACAATTTGACCACTATATGGCAGGAATGAAGTATGCTAAGAAGAACGTGTCATTAGTATAGACTCTAAACACGAATCATACGAAAAATTGCACAAACTCCACATTTAGATAACTAGTCTCATGAAAGACATAGCACAAAATAAAGCAAAGAAAAGACCATCGCCAGGGTAAGAGGATGGATGATTCGTACCTCACGAAATGGGTATTCATCAGCTTCGAGCATACGCACAACCTGGCTCATTTTGGGCCTGTTCTCCGAATCATGATCAACACACCGAAGTGCAACCAAAAGGGCACGTTTTAAGGCACGTGTACTGGGTTTAACTTCAAGGTTTGGATCCACAACTTCCTCGGCTCTTCTTGCACCTACCATCAACTTTAGCCACTCAACTAGATTGACCTGCCATTAGTATTTGGTAGTGTTTAAAATTCTGTAATTAATTGATAGTAAGCAATGATAACCAGTATGAACCTTGCCTCATGAGGATGGGAAGTAGAGAAGAGAGGGACGAGTATTGAAGGATGACACTCGTGGTAATAGTACACAATATTTTTGAAAATTTTGTACCTCATTAGCTGGTCGGCCATAGTCCACAGGATCCCTTCCCGTAACTGCTTCAAGTAGGAGGACACCAAAGCTGTAGATGTCGCTCTTCTCATTTAACAAGCCAGTATTAGCATATTCTGGTGCCACATAACTGCAAATGAACCGGTTTTATGCTCCGATTAGAAGATATATGATAGATAAATTAACAAAAGTTACAATACTGTAAGAGTTTACATACCCAAAAGTCCCCATGACTCTAGTCGTGATGTGACTTTCTCCTGAACCCAAGAGTTTAGCCAGTCCAAAATCAGAAACCTTGGCATTGAACTCGTCATCAATCAAAATGTTGCTTGATTTTATATCTCTGTGGACAACTTTTGGTTCTATAGCTTCATGTAGATAAGAAAGCCTGCAATCCAATAAGTGAATCCACTGGTCAAATTGGTTTGAAATTGAGGGCTGGTTTGGTATTGCTGTGCTTTGAAAAAAAGCTGCTTCTGCTGTGCTGTGAGAATAAGCAGCTGTGAAATAAAGCAGCAGAGTGTTTGGTAAACTTTTTTGTAAAAGTGCTTTTGAAAAAAAAAAAGCAGTATTAGTGTGTTTGGTAAACTTTTATGTAAAACAGATGTGAAAAAAAGCCGATTTTTCAAAGCTGGATTTTGTAGCTTCTTGTTTTTGGCTTTTTTTCACCAAAAACTGTGAAAAAAAGCTAAAGCTGAGTGTTTACCAAACACAAAAACAGCTCCCAGCTTTTTTTGATAGCAGCTTTTTTCAGAATCACCTCAGTACCAAACCAGGTCTGAGTCTCGCCATTAATCATGTCTCAAGTGGAATTATAAGATGGAACTTATAAACAGCAGTTGAAGGAAACTATCAAAATAATGAATTCAGATTAACAATACAAAAGAAACACATTTCAGTTAAAAGATGAAAACTTACGCTTTAGCAGTACCAAGAATCACCTTCATGCGAGCCTCCCAAGTAAGGGTGCCGTGTTGGCTCATGGCCCCGTGTAGCCATTGCTCTAGATTTCCATTGTTCACATATTCATACACCAGCATCCTATGCAATAGTTAGCAACTTAGCAAGATCAATAGAGAATGGACCGAGAACACAAATTCCAAGCTATACCATAGGGCAAATGATAAGGTAAACATTACACAGAACCCCCTACTAATGTGGAATATTATGTTACTAGACAAGGTTAAGTCATCAGTAATTATACAAACAATTTCAAATCAAAATAATACCTGTGAACACCTTCTATGCAGTAACCCAAGAGCCGCACAAGATTCTTATGCCGAACATGACCAATGGCCTCCACTTCAACCCTAAATTCTTTCTCTGCCTGCCCCCTATGTACAAGATTAAAAGGTATCCATTAGAAAGTTGTTTCCCAAAGGCATCTTGATAAGAAGATGATGCATTTGGGTTTATATCCTTACAAGTTATTTAAGAGTTTTTTCACTGCCACCTCAGTTCCATTGATCAGCCTGCCCTTGTAAACAACTCCATATCCCCCCTCACCAAGCACATTTTCTGCAGAAAAACGATTTGTAGCAAATTGCAGATCCCTAAGAGTGAACCAGTGACCCCACCCAAGATGAGAAACTTCTGGCAAGCCAACTAAAGGAGAGGCTGCAACAAGTCCTCCACAAGACAATGACGACTGCTTTCGCACAGTCCCAGAGCTTCCTTCTTCCCCCGACTGTGAACTAAGTGCCCTCTCATGATGATAAATTGAGCTGCACTGACTCATGTTATTAGGATCAATCGATTTGCTAGTGCCTAATTGAACTAACATCTTCTCTGAATTCTTATCACTTGCTTTATCATGTACTGAATGAAATAAATTATCAGGGTGATCATGGGTACCCTGAGCCGCCATCTTATCAATGTTGATATCTTTAGAGACATTTGGTATTTGGGTGACTGGGAACTTGTCCACTGATCTTCGAGACTTCCTCCGAAATGAAACCCATATAGATAAGAAACATAGGATCAAAACAATAAATGCACCAACACATATACCGATTACAACCCATAGTTTCAAACCCAAAAATCCTATCTTTTTTGATAATTCCACATTCAAAGAAGTTGAACTCCCGGATGACATTCTTATCCTCCAGATGCAATATATCAAATCCGGCTTGGTGTTCTGACTTTCAGTGCCCCGAAAAAAAATTAAGACATTCCAACCTGGACATGACAAACAAATCATGTAACTCAAATCACACGAAAATGGTCACGCATATTATGTAAAACTCAAATTGCACAATAAAAAGTACTAAAATATCCTATCAATTCAATTTTATGATATTAGATTCATGGCTTAGTCTTCAACTTTTAATCATGTTAAAGAACAACCAAAGTAACCCAAAAAAGGGAGAATCTGATGCAATAACTGCTTGATTATTTTCCCAAAAAAAAATACTCAGCACCTTGACTACAATGGAATTAATTTTTCCCCAAGAAAACAGTGAATACAAGATAAAAACCAAAGTAATATTTAGGCAATACTTTCTTGACAAATGAAGCAAACTAACATTTAACATACAAACTAAATCTATCACAAAAGAGAAAAGTGAAATCTCATACAGAATCACTTATAATCCAAGCAAGAGACCAATAAAGTGAAATGTGAGTGATTCTATATAATAAAAGTGATTCCAAGAGAGAAGCACTTACCTTTGCACTTTGCAGCAATCTAAGCTAACCCCCTTGATCTTCTTCCTTGAGCAGCCAGATGAGCAGAGAAGGAGCTTCCTTTTTAATCAAGAGAGACTCAATGGGCATAAGAGGCCAATGCAGACCTGAAACATAACGCAAAAAACCCACCAAAACCCAGATGTCCAAAAAGGCAAAAAATTTCCAGAGGAGTAGTTTGCAAGTTGGGAGAGAAGGGGTTGTGGCCTTCAAGTGGGCCAAAAGAATTCAAAAAACAATAAAAATTTGAGAAAAAGATGGAATGAAAAGAGAGGAGGAGAGGGAAGGACAGACAAAAATCTAATCTTTGAAGGGAGAGAGAGAGAGAGAGAGAGAAAGAGAGAGAGAGAGAGAGAGAGAGGGAATTTATGTGTGTAGAATATGGGGTGGGATTCTAGAGGGGAAAGGAAGAAAAGGTGGGTAAAATGGTTGGTGGGTTTTTTTTTGTCTGTGTGAAGGAGAGGGGCCTCAGCAAGCTGGAAAGGAAGCTTGGTTTGCAATGGAGGAAACCAGAGAGAGAGAGAGAGAGAAACAGTAAAGGGAAAGCAAAAATAAGGTGAACAGAGATGGGGCATTTATAGCTGGTTAACAAAAAATATTTGATTAAGTTACAAAAGTAAAGTGGCAAGCATGAGGACATAGAGTCAACCCAAACACTATTAATAGGAGGGAACTGCAAATCTAGCATGCCATGATGTTTACTTACCACACTGCCCTTGTGTCTTAAAAAAATCCTGATTGAAAAGCGATACGATGTTTACAAAGATATTTTTATAAGATGATGTTAATTTGGTCGCGTTACACCGCCTGAGTATTGGCATTGCTACAAAAATGTATATTTATTTACATCAACTTAAACTTCATCCAACTATATGAGAGTGTATTAGTCTGTCATTGCATAATTAGCAACTGACAGAGACAAATTAGAGGTGGAGGTCCATAAACTCTAGGTCCAGACTATAATATAAATTTGGTTTTATTAATTTGGATTTAACTGCTTTGATTACTTTGTCAATACACTAATATCTATATTCCTTTTCCATAAAAAATAATAAATAAAAAAATAAAAAGTCTTGCATTTTCTTTTGATGGAAGCAAAAAATACACCAAATGCTTTACTGATGAAAAACATTGGTATTCTTATCTATACTGGTGGACCAATCAGTGTGATCTAGTTCTCTGTACAATGTAGCTGTGACACCTCCACATTTTCTGTAGTTCTGATCTTTATTAATTAATTAATTTGGTTTATAATTAGAAACACCTTCAAGCATTTGTCTTATTTTTGGTAAATAATCTCCAACCATTTGTCTAGGTTCACTCTTAAAACATTATGAATTATCCTTACATATATTTGCTTTTATGGATTGATGTTCCAGAATGTTCATCCCTCATGTTCAGGTAAATGATTGAAAAAAAAATTGGTGGCAAATGTGGTGGCATAAGATTGATGGTGACGATTACTTTGCGCATCAAGAGATAAAATGAGAATAATATTATTTTTAAAAATTAATGAGGGTATTATAAGAATTGAAAATATTTAATTACAGAGACAACTCTGTTTTTTATTAAAACAGCTTTTAAAAGCTATTAACATGCTACTTTTAAAAGCTGTTGTGGAGGTCATTGTGTTTTAAAAATAAGCAAGATATTTTATTTTTTTACTAACAAACACAGTTTTTAGTTAGAAAAGCAAATACCAAACGGGACTTACGTGGGCCATATTTTCTTCAGCCAGCATTCTCATGCCTATCCAACTCAGAGAAAAATTTGACATTCCATGGGCGAAAAATTTAAACCTTTCAAGAGAGTAACAAGGAATTGATTTCATTTATGGAGCAAATGCACGCACTAGGGGAAATACATTATTAATTTTTTTAATGAAGAGCAAACGTGAAGATAACTACTCTTTTAGTATTCAAATTTGCTTGTATGGATCACATTTACATAACTTTTATCATTTTATCAAAGTTAGATTTTTGTGAAAAGTTGTGTTTCGTTTTTAATTTTCAAGCTCCAACTTGACCTACTAAACTAGGATTTTGCAGAATCCTTGAAATAAATGTATTTTCAAATTTATAGATGGCCAAATCGAAGAAAATTAACATCCGTATTTCATGAATTTGATTAAGAGATGTCAAATTATAATGATATTACGCTTGTCTATCAAGAACCTGTTGTTGGTACTTTAAAAAAAAGTATCATGTCCTCAATTTTTGTCTTTCTGGAGTCGTAAGGGAGAAATTGCATTATAATTTTAGACTAACGATGACAATTTCATTTTTTATTAAGATAATCATGAATAGTTGTTATGTCACATCATGGCCCAGGCTCCCACCATATCCTGGACTCGACTCCACTGTAGCACGATATTGTCCGCTTGGGGCCTGACCATACCCTCACGGTCTTGTTTTTGGAAACTCACATGAGAACTTCCCAGTGGGTCACCCAACCTGGGAATGCTCTCGCCCTCAACTTGCTCAACTTCGAGTTCCTAAGGAACCCAAAGTCAGTGAGCTCCCAAAAAGCCTCATGCTAGGTAGAGATGAGAATATACATATAAGGCTTACAAGATCCACTCCTCTGGGCGATGTGGGATGTTACAATCCACCCCCCGTAGGGGCCCAACGTCCTCATCGGCACACTTCCGACTAGGGATTGACTCTGATACCAAATTGTCACATCCTGGCCCTGGCCCTGGCCCGGGCCCCCACCACATCTTGGGCTCGACTCCATGCTCTCGCCCCCAACTTGCTCAACTTCAGAATTCCTAAGGAACTCGAAGCTAGTGAGCTCCCAAAAGGCCTCATGATAGGTAGAGATGAGAATATACATATAAGGCTTACAGGATCCACTCCCCTTGGGCGATGTGGGATGTTATACGCTACTTATTCTTACAGTCTAAGGGTATTCTTTTTCGCTTGTAAGTAAGAGGTCTTAGGTTTGAATTTTGTCAAAGACGAATTTGAATCACATTATTATGGTTGACCTATTGTAAGATTTGACTCACTCCCCCACTCCCTTAGTGTCGTTTGTTAAACAAAAACCCTAAATGGTCAAGTTGAATAGTGACTATTTATATACACTATAAAAAATTATACGAATCAGAGCTTCGCTCAACTCTTCGTGAAACTCATGAATTTCCTGCAAGTGGATATATATATATATATATATATATATATAATTAGTTATTATTATCACAAGGAGAGAGAAGAATCGAAACTATTCAATAATTTAGAAAATGAAAGTTTCAAACTCGAAATGCGTGGATAATAGATATTGTTCTCATCTGTCTTTCTTGTCAACGACTTACTTATCGTTGCGTAATCACTAATCACTTATTGGTAGATATTTTGACAATGGTTATCTATCTTTCCTTTTTATTCGGGCATACTATTACTAGCATGAGCTTTGACTGAGCCAATAAAATTTAGAAAAACTAATTGCAACGGTTCTGAAGGGTAAATTTGTCAATACAGGTTGAACCCTGTAAACATTTACCAGAAGAAATTATAGATTATAATAAACAAAGGTGGCTTTGTTGATTATCATAACTTGAGTGTGTGTGTGTGTGGGGGAGGGGGGATATAAAAAGCCCCCAATTGGGGCAAGGGACACAGGCTTTGATTTGAAGTGTCACTTTTGATTAAAGTGTGCCCCCTCCCAGCCAAATTCTTTTTCCCTTCCTTTGAGATTTTACAAAAAATATTTATTTATCTTTAGATTTATTATGCAGATAAAATTTTAATACGACAAATATTTAAACTGTTAAATTTGATTTTCACGAATATTTAGATCTTTTATCTTAGTAATTTGTTTTTAATATCATTCAATACTATATAGTACTGAAGAAAAACTGGTATTAGAGTATCTCTAAAAGAGATATCAAAAATCTTACGTACGTTCTAAAAGAGATGCCAAAATCCACATTTGTTGGCAAATTTAAAGGCAGCGTCAAAATTTTTTTTGTTCTTTATTTTTCTTCTCTTATTCATTATTTTATTTTTAAGTTTTGTTATTATATAAATAATTAAAGAATATTTTAATTTAACATCTTCATTAAAATAGAAAATTTTATAAAACATTACTTTATCACATCAGCTATAAAAATAAAATTTAACATTTTAATTTTATATCTTTATTAAAGATGGTCTTCCGCTACCCAAAACTTCAAAGCATCCCATTTGGGAGAAATTTTTAGGTGTGCCGGGAACACCATGCCACGTGGTGTTCCCTCACACATAAAAATTCAAATTTATTTATTTATTGAAATAAATAATTGAAGTATATTCAAAATTTGAATTTTTATGTGTGAGGGAACACCACGTGGCATGGTGTTCCCGGCACACTGAAAAATTACTCCCCATTTGGGCTTGGTCTAAAAGAAATTATAAAAAACAAAAGAAGTGACCAATTAGGGTTCATCCCCTGGGGCCCCCTCGGGAGATCCGTTGGCCGAATATTGACTTGAATAGCCAATCTTATGCTTCCAATTGTTCTAAACATGTGATTTTTTTCTCAGAAAAAATATAACTCATGTGGTTTTTTACCAAAATGGTATAATTTATCACCGCACCCACCATTAAGGAGCTAAGCCTTGCACGTGCATGGCACGTGATCGTAGAACTTTCATTTCATTTTGTTTTTATTTTTAGGATTTTTACGTGATGGCATATTTATCGATTTATCACCTAAACTTGTATAGAGATGTCAATTTCCTTCTGAAATTTTACTTTTAGTCGATTACCTCCTGAACTTTTATAATTAGTCAATTTCCCTCTTAAACTTTAATTTTAGTCGATTACCCTACTGAACTTTTATAAATAGTCAATTTCCCTCCCTCGACCCTAGATTTTAAAAAATTTCATCCAATTTTTCATCCGTTACGTAGACAATGCATGATAATTGTATAAGGGCAAAAAGAATGGAAAATTATATGGATGAAAATTTTAAAATCTAACGCTAAGAAGGAAATTGGCTATTTATAAAAATTTTAAGGGGTAATTGACTAAAGTTAAAGTTCAGGGGGAAAATGACTAATTATAAAAGTTTATGGGGTTAATTGGCTAAAATTAGAGTTCAGAGGGAAAAATTGGCACCTCTATACGAGTTCAAGGGCAAATCAAAAAATACCTCTTACATGATATATGTGTTCCGATGACTGTAAATTACTCTAATTATGAGGATGACAATTCATTCTTGGGTGCAAGAGATCTAACACATTGCTTTATCTAACTAAACTCAAACAACTAAAATTCAGTTGCATGGACCAATTCAAGTATTCCCAACGTGTTAAGAACTATGATGAGGGGTTAAAAGCTTCTTGTGAGTTTTGATTTGTAGGAGAACTATTTCCCTGAGTTATGAAGAGCAATGGAAACCGCCAAATGAGGGTGTTTTGAAGTTTAATGTGGGCGACGCAGTGTTGGAGTTAGGGAATAGTGTTGAAATTATTGTGAGAAATTCATCTGATGATTTTGTTGGCGTTGGTGTAGGTGTTCGCTACGAAACTAACGCTTGACCTAATTTTTTTTTTTTTTTTTGTTAACTAACTCATATTGAACATAAATATATCGTTGTATTTAAAAATGAAGGAAAACTCATACTACTAAAAATAAATTTTATTCCATTCGTTGTTGTATTTAAAAATGAAGGAAAACTCATACTACTAAAAATAAATTTTATTCCATTCGTTGTTGCCAAAAATATGTGACGTTGATATAACATAAATGAGCTCGTGTTTTTCTAGTCGGTAATCTCGAAACTAAGAGCTCATCCTTTCTCTCTCTGAGACACAGAACCCCTCCATTCCCACTCCTTTTCAGCCATTGCTGCTGCTGTGATATTTTATATTTAAACTATTTATGACCGGAAAGACATTTGTGAAATGAGTGTCTGTAGGAATATTTTCCATGCTTCGTGACATAGGGAAGTACGAACGGTTGCAATTTGCATCATTTATACAAGACAAATTTCTGCATATTCCATCTTGGAGTTATAAATTTGGATAGCCATATGCATATTTGAACACTATAAAAATATTGTATTTGAACCCTAAACTCTGCATTCTAATTTAACAGATAAAAATACTCATTACATATCTATATATATATATATATATAAGTAAGTTGTCCATGCATTTTTATAATTAATATACGAGTTTTTATCACAAATAGTTCTTGAAATTTACCCTTACTATTAAGATGGTCTCTAAAATTGAAAATTAATCAATGTAGTTCTTGAAAATAGGTGTTGCAAATCAATATAGTCATTTCGTCACAATTCTGTTAAAAATTTCGTTAAGTGCTGATGTGGCACATAAATAGGCCCCATAAGATTTACGGGAATTTTATCACAAATGATCATTGAAATTGACTCACATCATCAAGATAGTCCCTGAAATTGATCTACACCATCAAGATGGTCCCTAAAATTGGAAATCGATGAATGTAGTTCTTAAAAATAGGTGTTGCAAATCAATATGATCATTCTGCTACAATTCTATAAAAAAATTTGTTATGTGTTGGATGTGGGTTTAATTATTAATTAAAAAAGTTGTCTAAATACCTTTTTGCACAATAGAATTTTTTTTTTCTTATAGTATGACATACTCCGAAGAGAGATCCCTTCCATAAATTCTCAAAGACACAAAGCTTAACCAAGGCCTAAGAAAGGGTTTGGAAATAGTTTTCAACCAACAATAGACGCACCTTGGTTATAACCTCATTATCTCAAGGCAGGCCTCACCATTCTTTGAGTCATCACACCACCAGGGAAGCGCCGAACAAGCTATCCAAGATTAAGGTTGAGAGGATGTTGATCGCGTAAATATTAACGGTCATGTCCTAGAATTCGTTGCCAATCAGCCAAGTCGTCACCAAAGGTAATCTCGATCCAAGTTCAATTCGGTGAAGGGTGTCGAAGTGTGTAAAGATGGGTGTATTGGGAATTTTCTTTTTAGAGAATAGATAGCAAATGAGGTAGAGGAATGTGGACTAGGATTGAAGGTGATTGCAGGACTGGGTTTTTGGATTCATAACTTTTTATTAAATATTAAATTATTAAACGTATTTGTAGTTTTTTAATTTAATTAGACTTGTGTAATCCATTTATGTGTCACATCAGCACATAACAAAAATTTTGACAGAATTGTGTTGAAAATGCTACATTGATTTGCGACACTTGCTTTTGGGACTACATTGATCGATTTTCAATTTCAATGACCATTTCAACGTCGCAGGTCAATTTCAGGGACCATTTTGATGTCGCAGGTCAATTTCAAAGACCATTTCAATGTCGCAAGTCAATTTCAGGAACCATTTTGATGTCACAAATCAATTTCAAGGACCATTTGTGAGAAAAAAGGACTTATGAGACCCATTTATGTGCCATGTCAACACTTAACATAATTTTTAACAGAATTGTGACGGAATGACTACATTGATTTGCAACACCTATTTTCAGGGACTACATTGATTGATTTTCAATTTCAGGGACCATCTTGATGGTGAATGTTAATTTAAAGGATCATTTGTGATAAAACCCCTTAATATAAAGCAAAAAAAAAACGCGTAATAACAGACTCAACTGTAACTCATTATATTGTGTGAACTCAATGTTATGTATTCAATTACATAAGTGATTTTAATTGTATTGGTGATTACGAATATTAAAAGAGGTTCTAAATTCGAATTTAATCTATTTGGACTTGGACTAATAACGATACACCGATTCAGTAAGACCTCGAGATTGGGTTGTTACGAATACGACTTCGATCAAAATCATTCTAACTTGAAGCTTCAAGCAAGGTTGTAGGCACCACTTACGATGATCAATGTATAAATATAGGTATAAAACAACTGGAGTTCTCTATTTATGTAGTTTCCCCTACTTATGTTATAAATAATGAATGTCCCATCTGGATTCTTGGATCAAGAAAATACTGTGCCTCAGATAAACTAATTTTTACTTTGCTTTGCCAAAAGAAATGTAGCAAATGAGCTGGGTACAAGTGACAACCAGTTTCTGTTTTTTGTCCTAATTATTTTAGCTACCATACACAGGAAGTTGAAAAATAATTTCTGCATGCCATAAGCCAGAGGCCCTATATATTAATTTATAGCCCACATTCTAGGCAGATAACTTTAAAACACCCCAGCCCAACTCACTTCTAAGTTAATTAGCAACTAATGGCATGTATGAATTAATCAGTAGATGATTTTACAGGGTTTCTTTGTTTTGGACGAAATGGTCTTAGAGTTTGTTAATTATCCTATTTCTTAGTTTGATACTGTATTAAACATTTTATTAAATTAGTTCAACTTAGTTTATTTTAAGCCAATTCAGCTTAGTTCCTAATATAAGAAGGAAAATCATAATCAACTAAAAACACTTATCTGGATTAGAACCTTTATTGCGGAACCTCCATTGAGCAATATTCTGAGTGTATGCATCTCTCCTTGTGTCGTGACATCTCCATAGCAAAAACAAATGATCTACTCTTTTTCACTCACTTTATAATAGCTCTATTCAATGGGGCTTGAAGGGTTATTTATGTGTATCGAGCGTGAGAGTAGGGACCCTTGTTATATAGTAAAAGAGGTGGAGTCTAAGTAAGAAACTTCCCATCATGTAATTCTACTCGAACACGACTTTATCACCTAAACCTTAGTATTCATATCTAATTAGGTTTACTAATCGTATCAGGATTGCTTTAGCTATAAAATCCTAATAATACACTATTTATTAGTGTACAAGTATTATTGAAATCAATCTTTGCAATCCTGAATTTATATGAGATGTTAAATACAAGTGTGCAACACTAATATAATCTTACACCTAATAGTAGTTCAGTCCGAGGTAGTCACCACATCCTGAATAACTTATGTTGATTGTTCACTAGGTTTATATATATATTCTATATTGTTCACTAGTTTTTTTTTTATATATTCTAATTTACTAGTACTAGTTTAATATATCTTTCACATGCATGCCACCTTATATCTAAGACTTTAATTTTACTTATAACATTCCCACATTTAGGATAAACCTAAAAGACACATGAAGATCATGTAGCCAAAATCGTGTATCAGTTTTAATAATTAATTTGTTGCTTTCTATACATGATTTGTCCCCCTTACATTCCATGTCCAATAAGATGCTCATTTCTTGGATGCTTGCGCGAGGCCTTTCTAGAATTACTCCAATTTTTTATTTATCTGTCACACCCCTCCCATTATCCAAGCACAGTGCATATTTCTTTATTTTAACGAGGAACAGCAATTATGTTATCTTCTAACACACTGTTTATATTATAATGAAAGACCAGGTAACATGCATGCAGTAAAAAGTTCCCTAACTCCATAGAAAAAAAAAGTTTCCTAACTATGGGTAAATCATCATTGAAAATGTATGGGAATTGTTTACTGGGAGTTTTTAAACTTTTTTATACAAACGATATTCGGGATGGGAGATTTAAAAATTACATTGTTCTAACCAACTTTGTTATGTTCAAGTTCGGATTGTAGATGAAATTTTTTATAAATTCAATCATTCAAGCTCAGATAGAGGAAGTTGAGTTTTGTGCCGCTTGAATTTTGGTCCCTTTTTAATGAGTACATTTTAAGTCTCTTGTTTATTTTTCTTTGAAATAAGAATCTAGTAGCTTAGCACATGCAATGCTCTAAGAATTTAATTATACGTAAAATGTAGCATAAGGACTCGGATAATGGAAATCAGTAATTACAACATAGAACGAATTGGATTGTTGTATGAGATATATTGACACCTCATAATTAAATGCAATTTATTTAATCTTTATCATTAGAAATTTCAGGATGAAATAATGCAAATGATTGAATATCTGTAATTATGTAACTGGCCGTAACATCTCAAGTTCTGCAGACTGCTGCAGAATTTGAACTTATATCGCATATTTACCATTACTTGCAGTGCACAACAATTCTGATTCAAGTAAAATATTGTAACCAAATAGAGGTTTATAGGTAAAGAGGCAAATTTCACATGCAAACTTTTACTTCAAACTCAAAGCATATTTGTTGTTATATTCCTCTTAGATCAACAAGTTTCATCAACATAAGCATATTAACTGAAACCCCATTTCACAAGAACAATGACCTGCAAACTTTGTAATAACGCTTCTCTGCTCTCAGTCTCACTTTCCAGGAACGAAGTTTGTGGCGTATGACCAAGCATTGTTGTTCACAGGGTCAGACAAGTGGTCGGCCAAGTTCTCTATTGGTCCTTTTCCAGTAACTATGGCTTGTAGAAAAAATCCAAACATAGAAAACATGGCCAATCTTCCATTCTTAAGCTCCTTCACCTTAAGCTCAGCAAAAGCCTCTGGATCTTCTGCAAGGCCTAACGGGTCAAACCTCCCGCCGGGGTACAATGGGTCTGTCACCTCACCGAGAGGTCCACCTGCAATTCTGTATCCCTCCACTGCACCCATCAAGATAACTTGTGTGGCCCAAATTGCCAAAATGCTTTGAGCATGGACTAAGCTTGGGTTCCCCAAGTAGTCTAGCCCGCCTTCACTGAAAATCTGGGCTCCCGCCTTGAACCAAACAGCCTCGCCGAACTTGACTCTGTTGCGAGATAGGAGCTCTGGGAAAATACAGCCCAGAGCCCCGAGCATTGCCCATCTAGAATGGATGACTTCAAGCTCACGGTTCTTAGCAAATGTCTCGGGGTCGGCTGAGAGTCCGGCAGTGTCCCAACCGTAATCACCAGGGAATTCTCCGGTGAGGTAAGATGGGGACTCACCAGAGAAAGGACCCAAGTACTTGACACGGTCTGGACCATACCATGGGCTGCCGCATGATACATTTTTGGACTTGGCTGCGGTTTTGCGCATGGTAATTCGGCCCTCACCTCGTAGGGTAGAAGTCGATTTACTAAGCTTGACAGCTTGGCCAGCTAGGGAAGGGGAGGTGAGAGCCATTGCAGAAGAAGCCATTTGAGAAAATTAAATGAAGTGTATTGAGTTTTAGCTCTCGGACAATGAGGGAAAGCCGAGTGCTTCTTGTTGTTGTTGTTGTTCTGGTAGCTAGAGACGTTGGTAGCTAGGTATATGTATAGGGTTTGGTGGGGCAATGGAGTCTTTATCTTTGTGAAATGTGATATCTTCATCTGATTTTTCATTGGTGTAAATCATGTTCAAGATTTTCCCGATGAGTCTCTTCCATTGAGCTTTGATAATTACCAGTTGGCTTGATATGCTCCACTACGTACTTTTAGTTCCAAACACAGAAAGAGAAGGAAAAAGCTATTTTGGATATTACCTGTGCCTTCAATTGTAGCCAATTGAATTTGCTCAATACTCTTTGTGGTGAGAGACGTCTAGCCAATACAATTTGGCCACATACATACACTTTGGATGAGAGTAATGACACCTGAAGATTTTTTGGATAATGAGAAGAAGAGTCTAAGAATAAGGATGATTTTTTATTTTATTTTTTATCCAAGGATGGAACTTTGCAATTTTTCTTTAATGGTAAGTTGCACAAAAAATGAATGGTAGAGACTGAAATAGAAGATCTAATAGTTACTCAAATAAAATCTAACAGCTAAAGCCACAGTGCCACATCCAGAAATTTGTAGCATTTTGCACACTTTTCTTTTTTCTCTTTACATGCAATCAAGAAATGACAAGATGCTAATGACTATTTACTACAACTATACTTTCGGATGTACAAACGTTTTCGTATCATGGCCAAGGGAATTTGTGAACTCCTCTTACTATAGAAACTGTTGACTGAAACTTGGGATTAAATGTTAGATCCCACATCGTCCAGGGGAGTGGATCCTCTATGCCTTATATGTACATGCCCACCTCTATTAGAATGAGGCCTTTTGGGAGCTCATTGGCTTCGGATTCCATCGGAACTCCGAAGTTCGGGCGAGAGCAATCCCAGGATGTGTGACCCACTGGGAACTTCTCATGTGATTTCCCAAAAACAAAACCGTGAGGACGTGGTTGGGGTCCAAAGCGGACAATATCGTGCTACGGTGGAGTCGAGCCCTGGATGTGGTAGAGGCCTAGGCCGGGATGTGACATTAAACTTGCATTGTGATAGCAAGGTTGTTATCTATATTGCTTATAATCCAATTCAATATGATCGTACGAATCATGCTGAAGTGAATAGACATTGCATTAAAGAGAAATTAGACAGTAAGATATCGTTTAACTTACGTTCGTTTGTAAAGTTTGAGATCAACTACCAGTTATTTTGACATTACAACTCGATTGGCAAGTTGCGCATTGAGGATATGTATGCATGCAACAAACTTGAGAAGCAATGTTGGCATGAATTGTGTAATTAAAGTCTTTGTTTCTTACTAAAACTTATTTTCTATTGTAATTAGGTTAGACTTTAATACCTTTCCTTCTTGACAAGTCTTTACACATAAACAGAACAATTTTTTGAACTAAATTTATAAATCACATGACATGCATGGTGGTTGATGGTTGAAGTTAATTTGAATGATTTAAAGAAGAAATTCAACCATCTCCCACCACATCATATGGTCTATTAAATATGGTCTACAAAGATAGTCTCCATAACATCACTCTATATATTAGGCTCTAAAGAAATAAGAATACATGTTACAAAGTTCTTCAATTTTAACGGATTATCCATCAATTTATAGCATTTTGGAATGAGTGAACCTTTTGCACTAATGTCTGTTTCCTTGCCATGGTGGGCACTAAGGAACTGCTGTAAATCATGCATCAATATCTTTGATAATATTTCATTAGAACATATAAAATTATATCTGGCCTGACAGGAAATTACATATAAGAGGCAAACCAATATCGGAAATTTTGAATTCCTCGCTGAATTGATTCTTTATTTTCCATGAGAAGATGGATCAAATGAACGTAGTTGCCATTATGCTGCTGGCTCTTTGGGGCTTTACCAGTTCATCAGAATATTCTGGCTGAATAGGTTGTTAATAAAGATACCAAATGAGGCTTTTCCGTTTCTTTGAAGGCATGATGCTGATTCAATAAGTTGTCTGACCAAGAAAAATTCAGTGTTTGTATAAAATTATTAATTAGTGCGATGAAATATTCAAGGGCAATGCAAATTTTTACTGAAACCAATTGTTGATATATTCCTTCCCGTTGATCACAAAGTTGTATATATCAACACAAGCACACAAGAAAAAATGAAAATCCCAATTCATACATTTGCCAAAACAATTAACAAGTAAAAGCAATTAGTAGAAGTGCTTCTCTCCAAGATCAGAGGGAATCTTAGCCTCACTGCCCTGGAGCAAAGTTGGTGGCATATGACCAAGCGTTGTTGTTAACGGGGTCAGCCAAGTGGTCAGCTAGGTTTTCTATTGGACCTTTTCCAGTAACAATGGCTTGTACAAAAAATCCAAACATAGAAAACATGGCCAATCTTCCATTCTTGAGCTCCTTCACCTTAAGCTCAGCAAAAGCTTCTGGATCCTCTGCAAGCCCTAATGGGTCAAAGCTCCCGCCAGGGTACAACGGGTCGGTTATCTCACCGAGAGGTCCGCCGGCAACCCTGTAGCCCTCCACTGCTCCCATTAAGATAACTTGTGTGGCCCAAATTGCCAAAATGCTTTGGGCATGGACTAAGCTTGGGTTTCCCAAGTAGTCTAGTCCACCTTGACTGAATATTTGGGCTCCCGCCTTGAACCAAGTAGCCTCACCGAACTTGACTCCGTTGCGGGATAGAAGTTCTGGGAAAATGCAGCCCAGAGCGCCAAGCATCGCCCATCTTGAGTGAATGACTTCGAGCTCCCGGTTCTTGGCAAAGGTTTCTGGGTCGGCTGAAAGTCCAGCAGTGTCCCAACCGTAATCGCCAGGGAATTCTCCGGTTAGGTAAGAAGGAGACTCCCCAGAGAATGGTCCCAAGTATTTAGCACGGTCTGGCCCATACCACGGGCTGCCAGATGACACTTTCTTGGACTTTGCTGCGGTTTTGCGCATGGTGACTCGGCCCTCACCAAGAAGGTTAGATGAAGAAGGATTAAGCTTGGCAGCTTGGCCAGAAAGAGAAGGAGAGGAGAGTGCCATTGTTGAAGAAGCCATTTCAGAAAAATGAAAGTGTATTGAGTTTTAGCTCTCGGACAAGGGAAACTCGAGTTCTTGTTGTTGTTCTGGTAGCTAAAGACGTTGGTAGGTATATTTATAGGGTTTGGTGGGGGCAATGGAGTCCTTATCTTTGTGAATTGTGATATCTTCATCTGATATGATGTTCAAGATTTTCTCAATGAATCTCCTCCATTAAGCTTTGATAATTTCCAGTTGGCTTGATATGCTCCGCTACTTTTAGTTCCAAAAACAGAAAGAAGGAAAAGTTGTTTTTGGATACTACATGTGCTTTCAATTATAGCCAATTGAATTTACTCAGTACTCTTTGTGGTCAGAGACATCTAGCCAATAAAATTTGGCCACATACATACACTTTGGATGAGAGTAATGACATTTGAAGATTTTTCTGGATAATGAGAGGAAGAGTAAGGAATCAGGATTGTTCTTTTGGATCCAATCTAGCACTACGGATGGAAATTTGCAATTTTTTCTTAATGGTAAAAGGAAAATTGAAAGGAAAACTAATGAAATTTTTTTGAAAACTTTGAGTTTTAATGATAAGGGTAAAATAAAGGGTAAGTGAACAGTATCATGATTGATTTTTTAGTGTAAAAATATAATTTTTCGTTAAAATGAACATTACCGAAAACTTTTCGTTAAAATTCCTACAATTTAACTACTGAAACTGAAAATAGAAAAATCTAATAGGTTATTGAAATTAAATCCAACGACACGTGTAATAATTATTTACATTGAAGCCATTGTGCCACACCTGGAAAGTTTTAGCATTTTGCAGACTTTTCTTTTTTCTCTTTACATATAATCAAGAAATGACAAGACTTTAACGACTATTTACTACAACTATATCTGTGATGGTAACATGTGTTTGCATTTTTATTTTCAGTTGTATAAATCATACAATTTACGTTCGTTTGTAAAGTCTAAGATCAATTACCAGATATTTTGACAAAGACACTGTTAAGTAACATATTTTACAACCCAATTGGCAAGTTGGGCATAGAAAATATCTATGCATTTAACCAATTTGAGAGAGGATGTTGGCATGAGTTGTATAATTAAGATCTCTGCTTTTTACTAAAACTTACTTTTTATTGAAATTTGGTTAGACTTTGATACCCTTCTTTCTCTACAGGTCTTTACACATTGTATATTATGAAAATGCTAGAGAAATAAGAATTGTTAGATTTATTGAACATTTATTAAATAAATAATGGTCCACTCAAATGTGGAGATGGATTATATTAATATGTCTTGGTAAAATCTTTAATTATATATTAATTAAAGGATATGGAATATATGTGCTTGGTTCAGTGGCTTTGGCAAGCCTCCAACCAAACCCTAGCTAGGGTTAGGTTGGATCCCAATTCCACGAAGGTTAGATGAAGAAGGATTAAGCTTGACAGCTTGCCCAGCAAGAGAAGGAGAGGAGAGAGCCATTGTTGAAGAAGCCATTTCAGAAAAGATGCAATATAGTGTATGACTACTGAGTATATTACTCTTAACAATGTTGTTGTTGTTGTTTGGTCAGAGACGTAGGTGGGAATATATACCATTTTGGTGCATGCGGTGCTTATCTACGTGATATCTTCATTCCTTTTTTCATTGGTGAAAACGATGTTCCAAGGATTTTCACGATCGATTTTGTTCCATTGGAGATTTGATGATTTCCTGTGGGCTTGATATGCTCCACTAGTTTACTTCCAAAAACAGAAAGAAAATATTAAAACTGTTTTGTGTTGCAAAATTGTGAGAATGAATGTCCACATACTTTAAGTGAGGAAGACTTGAGAATAGTAGTGTAATTGTTGTTGTGTGATGTTTGCAAATGGGCAATTATTTCACTTTTTAGTTTGTCACGGATGTGGTTCTATATAAAGAGCATTCCATGTGTGATTACAATACACAACAAAAAAAAAGTAGTGAAAGCAATAATATAAGTATCCCTCCATTCTTCTTTTTACCTGCAATTTTTTTGTATTATAATTACGAAACTAAACAGAATGATATTTTGCACCTACTTCGCTTCTATCCCTAACAAAAGTTATTTATCTAACTTTTGTGCATATTTATAACATTTTGGATATTATACGCTTTGAGCTTTAGCCAACCGAATTGCTCATTGCTCTTTGTGGTGGGAGACGTCTTCAATTCCAGATGGTTGGGCATATGTTCCACTTGTTAGGTGTTGATCTCAAGCCAATATAATTTGGCCACATACTCTTCAATGAGAGTATTGACCTCTTGAGTTTCTTGGATAGAGAGGTTAAATTTACTCTTGTGGATTGTTGATACATCTATTAAAATTTCAAATTTAACGTAAACTTTTCACAAATCAACACAAAATAAACACAAATCAATACAGAAAGTAAAAAATATCACCCTAATTCTTCAAATTTGATTAGGGTTTCAATTTGGGATTCTGAAATGGAGATTAGGGTTGTGATTTGGGAATTCTTAAATAGAATTAGGGTCTCAATTTGGGATGGAAATGTAATAAGGGTTTTGATTTGGGATTCTGAAATAGAATTAGGGTTTCAGTTTTAGGGATTTTAAATTGTAATTAGGGGGTTTTTATTTTGGAATTTTGAATTAAAATTAGAGTTTTGATTTGAATCGTATCAACCCTCACATATATCGTAAGAGATGGGCACTAGGAATCGAACCGAAATACGGACCAAACCTGACTGCATCGAACTGTTTGATTTTCGTGGTTTTGAAACGGTTTGGTTTCAGTTTTGAACATCTGAAACGGAACTGAAATCGAACCTCACTGTAAAATTAAAAAAATATTTAATTTAATACCGGTATTAGGTGTTGGATTCTAATTAGTTATTTGGATTTATGTGGGATCCATCAATATAATGCGAGGATCCATCAATTTTTGCTGGGGATCCATCATTAATACCACATATCCTTTTGTTTCTCTAATGTGATTGCTGGGGATCAATTATACAGGTCTAAGGACTAGTTTGGTATTGTTGTGCTTTAAAAAAAAACTTCTTCTGTACTGTGAGAATAAACAGCTGTAAGATAAAGCAATTAAGTGTTTGGTAAACTTTTTTGTAAGAGTGTTTTTAACAAAAAATGCAGTGTTCAAGTGTTTGATAAACTTTTATATAAAACTGCTGCCACCTTGTTAAATTATTAAAAAAGATACGATATTAAATATAATATAATAATTTATTTTAATTTTAGTTATAATTTTTTATTTATAATCTCTCTCTTTAGGGTTTTTATTTATCTCTCTTTCAATATTCATCCACCCTAGATTCGTCTTCATACCAAACCCCGATTCGTCTTAATCCAAACAGCTATCGTCTCCTCCTGTAAAACACATATCCCCTCGCTTTTCAATCCCATTTTTTTTTTCCTCAAAGCTTATCGATTTCTTTCAATTTTCTCAAAGCTTTTTGATTTCTTTCAATTTTCTCAAAGCTTTTTAGGGAGAAGGAGAAGGAAAGGAGTGGATCTGCAGTCTGATGTGCTTTTGAATGAGCGGATTTGCAGTTTGAAGGGGGGTTCTGGCAGACTAGTTCGGCAAGAAGAAGACGACAAGAATCGGATTAGTGACCTGGGCTCTCCTAAATTTGCAGACGAAGAAGCAAAGCATTTTATGAGGACCCAAATGGTCGAAGCTCTGAACTTGCAGCGGAATTGGATTTGGGACTCTCTAATTCAAGGCCTGAGATCTTCAACCTAGCGAAGGAGATGTGAATTTCAACCCAGCCGATGAAGAAACTGGGAAGGTATTTTTGAGATGGCTTCACACCTGAAGGATTTTTCTGAAACAGAATATTATCCAGAAGGGGAGTGAGAGTGAGAGAGAAAATGTCTCGGAATTTGGAATTTTTGGATCCAACTGATTGAAGAGTGGGTTCTAGGAAAAATAGGGAAGACAGCGTGAGAAAGGGGAAGTAGGATTGAAAAATTGAAAAGTTCATTAACTTTGTTTAGAGAAATATACTTCCAAACTCAGACATTGATCAGCCATGCCTAGGGAGAACCCTTTGTTTAGAGAAAGTCACATTGATCAGTTACCGTTGACCATCGTTGTTAGAATGGGGATATGCTTGTTAGAATTCATGTGTGTCTAATTGAATCTCTTATACAATAAGGATATGCTTGTTAGAATTCATGTGTCTTTGAACAAATTTGTATGGATTTGCCTAATTACTTTAATGACCAGTGTTACTTGGCAATGAAATGGATTTTAACTTGATTCAAGTTGAATTTTAGTATGGTGATTATGATTTTTTTTTTTAAATTGGGTTGATTAATGATGTAAGGCATTTAGTTTGTAAATGGTTTGAAACCGAACCGAATAGCAGCAGACCCGAAAAACCGAAATCATTTCGGTCGAATTTCGATAAACTGAAATAATTGGTTTGGTTTCGGTTTTTATCCCCTTCCCGAACCATTCGGTTTGGTTTTTCCCAACCAAAACCACCCCTTGTATTATTATATTAGAGTGCTGATAAATTCATCACACTGTCTTATTTCCCCATTCACTTTTAATAAAAAGTTAAGTACTAATTTTATCCTCTTGTAAAATGAGATATAAAGACCAATGGAAAAAGGGAATGACTTGTATCAATTTTACTCACTATTTCTGCATCCTCTCACTTCAAATTTGTATTGTTATGAATTATTTTTGATTTTATTTTGGTAACCGATTTTTAATTATTAGTCACAGTGGCTCTTATATCAATGTCACTGTTTTGTGATAAAAAGTTGTAAATTTTCACATTCAACCAACAAAACCTTTGAGGTAGGTTTTAATTTTTGGTTTCGTATAGTGCATTTGATTATGGTGTGGGATTTTTTGAGAGGTGTAGATGCAAATGAAGGAGGGAGTATTTTGGGTCTGTCAAAACGAAATTGCGTTTGGTGTTTGTTGTCGTAAGAACGAATTGTGTGGCTGCGTATTCATTGTAGGTTTAGGTGTCATCATGTGGGGGTGATTGGGTTTCTATGTGCACACATGGGTGATTCATTAGTGATTTGATTTAGCTATTTAGGTTGTTTGGGTTTGATTTTGTGAGCTTCTTGAGGTTGTTGCTTTTTCTTTTTTGATGTGTATTTTGTGTTCTTTGACATGGGGGTGGTCAAAGAGCAGACAAGGGAGACTGACAGAGAAGAGGAGGAGGGGTGGTTGTGGGCAGGGATCAGTGTAGTTTTGGAGTAAGACGCAACGAGGGCGAAGAAAAGGAGTTCAATGCATAATGAGTTTGTTTATCTCTCATTTCAATCATATTTTTGGAATTTTAATCAGAATAAAAATCAAAAAGAAAGAAATTGGCGGTTAGCGAAGGTTTAACTGGGTTTATGAGCACTCTAATATCTATTCTTATAAAGAATTTAAATATATATTAGAGGTTATTTTAAAAAAAATAGTAGGTGGGAAAATAATATTTTAATTTTTAACTTTTTTTTGTGGTGGGTGGGACTATAATTTGGGTTGGGAGATAAGACAATGAGTTGAGTCCAGTAACACTATATATACTATGCTTGTTTTATTATTAATATATACTAGCGTATGGGTACAAACAAAGTGTGTGAGAATTTTTTTTTTTTATTATTATTTTTTTGAAATAGAAGGAGAGAGGAAGAGAGTGATAGAGAATATGGAAGTATGATGTTATTTATTTATTTTAATTAGAGATATGTTAAGATTACATGTAGATGAGGGTTTGAAAAAAAACAGCAAAATTTGGTTGTGTAAAATTACATTTCTACCCCATATTTCTTATTCATCTTCTTTTTTAATTATAGGGTTAAATTGGTAATTTTATAGAATTTTGGTTAACAATGAGTATTTTATTAATTAGTTAATATTAGGCAATGAATTTTAAACATTAATGCTTTTTTTCTTTCTTTTTTTATTTAAATTATTAATTCTCTCTTACAATTCACGAGGAATTAATTGTGTACATCAAACATTCAAATAGGAGTCTTTTTTATTTTTTTGAAATGAAGTGCAATATTCATTGAAGATTGAAATACGTACAAATCGATAATAGGATGCTTATAGTGAACCTCAATAAAAACCTTACTGGGGCTTTCAACCAAATTGAAGGGAAAAAGAGTGTCTCGTACCAAATTTAACTATTAATACTATTCTCCAATAATAAATCAAAAATTACATCAAACAATCAATACTTAGGTTAAACCTCGCAAGGCGATGGACCACTTTATTCGTCTCTCTTCGACTAAACAAAACCTTCCATTGCTTGAAATTTTGAAGGAGTTGCTTTGTATCCTCAAATAGATGTTCGTAATGACGACTATGTGCTGCTCTTGCATTCTAAATTGCCGAGATCACCATCATAGCATCTCCTTCCACCTGGACTTATTTCGTTCCCTATTTCCGTGAGAACAGCGCTGCTGCACGTGCAGCAGCAGCCTTTGCATGTAGCGCCGATCGCACCCCTTCGTCCCTGGCCACCTGTGCTGCCATGAAACCTCCCACCGAGTTCCTGACCACAATCCCAAAACCTCCAACCGACCCCCTCTCATCCCATGCTGCATCAAAATTACACTTGATCCACCCAGAGTCTGGGAACTTCCATTTGTGTGTTATTGCCGAGGAGATTTGCGGTGAAGCTGCATTCCATTTTTTTAATTCGGTCAGCCACGTTTGAGCTTTAATTTGGGTTTCCAACAGAGAAGCATCGACACCATTCCATAGAAAATCATTGCGTACGTTCCAAATATTCCATACTAGGACAAGTAGCAACTCAAAGCTATCCTTATGTGGAGTATTTTAGACATCTGAAAATTTTAATATGTGTAAAGTCAAACTTAATTAATGAATTTACTTATGCGGAGTCTAGTCACTGGATTTTATTTGATTAAAAAAATTGTCGGATTCTATGTGAGGAAAATTAAGTTTCAAGGGCTAAATCATATTTTCAGAAAAAAGAAACCAGGTTTCTAGAGACCAAAGTTGGCCAGAAGATTGATTCCTGCTTGAAGGATATGTCGGGTTTTGTTGAAATATTCCATTGCTTTCACAACCAATATTTACATGAACAAAATCACACAAATACAAATCCCAACTCACGGCAGCTGTGAGCTGCCTACAGACACAATCTGTAGAGCCAGTTCTCTCACGTTCTCAACTTCACTTTCCGGGAACAAAGTTTGGCATATGACCAAGCCTTGTTGTTAACGGGGTCAGCCAAGTGGTCGGCCAAGTTCTCTATTGGTCCCTTTCCAGTGACAATGGCTTGCACAAAAAATCCAAACATGGAGAACATGGCCAATCTTCCATTCTTTAGCTCCTTCACCTTAAGTTCAGCAAAAGCCTCTGGATCTTCCGCAAGCCCTAATGGATCAAAGCTCCCGCCGGGGTACAAAGGGTCTGTCACCTCACCGAGAGGTCCACCTGCAATTCTGTATCCCTCCACTGCACCCATCAAGATAACTTGCGTGGCCCAAATTGCCAAAATGCTTTGAGCATGGACTAAGCTTGGATTCCCCAGGTAGTCTAGCCCGCCTTCGCTGAAAATTTGGGCTCCCGCCTTGAACCAAACAGCCTCACCGAACTTGACTCCGTTGCTAGATAGGAGTTCTGGAAAAATGCAGCCCAGAGCGCCGAGCATTGCCCATCTAGAATGGATGACGTCAAGCTCACGGTTCTTAGCAAATGTCTCAGGGTCGGCAGAGAGTCCGGCAGTGTCCCAACCGTAATCACCAGGGAATTCTCCAGTGAGGTAAGATGGGGACTGACCAGAGAAAGGACCCACCCAAGTACTTGACACGGTCTGGACCGTACCATTGGCTGCCGGCTGATACATTTTTGGACTTGGCTGCGGTTTTGCGCATGGTAATTGGGCCCTCACCTAGTAGGGTAGAAGTCGAGGGTAATTGGGCCCTTGCAGCTTGGCCAGCTAGGGAAGGGGAGGTGAGAGCCATTGCAGAAGAAGCCATTTGACAATGTAGGGTTTCTGAATGCTTCTTGTTGTGTTCGAAAGAGTAGCTAGTAGGTCTACTTAGAGTTTTATGTGATATCTTCGTCTGTTTTCTCATTGGTGAAGATTTAACTTCTCAGATTTTTTTGGGTACGACAGCATAGCCACAAGTTTGCTCCAAAAAGGGAGAAAAAGAAAGGTGAGGAAAATCAGTTTTGGATATTTGATATGCTGACCTGTAACCAACAGAATTTCGCCACGTACTCTCTTAGATATCAGGCAGAAATCTCTGTTGGGTTCTTGAGCACAAAGTTATCTGTCTAAACCCCATCAACAGAACATAAGCTAAGCAAGCAGGATTTTGAATTGATCCATGTAGTTCATACGTAATTCCGGCCTCGTATGGTGTCTAGAATGGATAGGGTAATGTTCTGTTGAAGGTAAAAGACGGATTAATCATGAAAGAAAATTATCTCCTCTCTTCCAATCCCCCAAAACATGGTGGGATTATTAGGGAGAAGTTTCTGTCGTTACTAATCCAGTGAGTTATCTCATTCAATCCAATCCTGAACACCAAAACGAAGCCTCAAGGTCATCATATTAGTACAGTCAAAGTCCAGATTCAGAATTCAATGTGGCTGTCAATTGTCAAGTACAATCTTGTTGAGAAAACCGAAAAGAAACAAAACGAAAATAAAAACTAGGTAATCTTAACTGGGATTATCATCTATAATGTCCAGAGGAATCCACCTCGAACAGATGAATGGGAATTCGATTTCTCTTAACTTGGATTATCATCTATAACGTCCAGAGCAATCCACCTCGAATCTAAGAGGAGTCATGTATCCATTGTTTTGGAGTCGAAGATTTGAATATTCGGAGAAGCAGTTTCCTCTCTCTTCTGCCTAGCTTCTTTGCGCCATAACCCCGGAAAGCACCAAGCTCAAGTGCTTTTTGGTTTTCTTCCGCAGCTCTTCTTCTCACAGACACCAACAAATCTGTTCCTTGGGGACTAATGTTCTCCTCTTTCCCACTTTCGGGTTTCTCTGTGTCCACTATTATTGAACTTGCATTGTCATCTGCCAATTTGTCGGACTGAGGTTTTTTGTCTTCCTCTGCCTTAGCTCCTTTCCCACGGAGGCCTTCATTACCATCGGGGCTATTGCTTCCCCACCATTTATTGGATGCAGTTGATAAGCCATCAGATGGGAATCCGTATTTAAACTCATCATATGTTGTATTTCCTTTAGTCAAGGTTGAGGTGAGCATATTCTGGGAATGTCCAGTCTGAACATTCTTGCTTCCTTTCTGTTGCGCAGGAGAAACATTGCTGCCATGTGATTTCGCCATTTTGCTATTCGGGTATTGAGAGTCACTGCATTGAGAAAATGGAAGGGAAAAAGATGAACGAGGATGAAGAAAGTAACGCTCTTTTTTAGTAATAGGAAAAAGAAATCAAATCTCTTATTGAATCAGACCAAGAAAGTCACTTGTGCTAAACTTTAACGCATTAAGCAATCCGAAAATCCTACTTTCAGGCAAAATTGTGGTGTAAAACAGCTCAAGTTAGTTCATACCAGAAGTGGCATCCATGAAGAATAAGTCACATACATACAGGAATAACTCAAATCACGAAACGAAAGGAGAGGTTTTCCGGGGAAGCCTCAAACATAGTCAAAGAAATCGAAAGGTAAATGACTAGGACTAGGAGGAAAGCACTACAAGGGATCCATACTTAATGTATAACGAAAATGCCAACAAACCACCGGTAAGAGCCAATATGAATATCTAATGCTTCATTAATGTTCTAAAGACTAGATTTTGAAGAATTATCCAACAATATCTCCAAACTCTTGGAATAAGTTCTTTGACCAAACGACAGAAATGGGAACAGGATGAGCAGCCAAATACTCTATACGCCGGAGCACCATAGAATTTTCATAAGATCGGGACCTTTGCTTCCCAAATTCTCAATCTTTGGCGTACAACACAAAACCCTAACAATCTCTGGCCGAGGAGATTTTAAAGTAATTTCACTACCTCAAAAATGAACAATTAAAGGGTACCATCAAATCGAAACCCAGTCCTACAATTCGACGACGGAATTAGTAAATCGACATTTCTTGTTCACATCAAAACTTGAACACACACACACATATCACCTGAGACTTGGAAATTATTTCAAAATTCTAACACCAATCATTTGAATACACTACATTTCTTACTTCCGGCTGCCAGAGAACCTAGCATAGACTTGATTTGATACATTATTCCCCTAGATCATCAATAAGCGACACGCCGTTTAACAAGCCGGGGGAGCAGCAGGAAACAACATTTTGATAACCAATTTTTCCCGGAATTTTATTTTTTACGTCCGTTTCCCGTCGATCAAACAGAAGGAATGACATGAACCACAAATTTAATGGATAATTAAATATACATGAGAGAGAGAGAGAGAGAGAGAGAGAGAGTACCGATAGCCGAGGCGGCGGCGGCGGCATGTAAGCGGGGGGAAGAGAGAAGGAATTGCGGACTTTGGCTGGTTCTTTAAGTGTCGGAGCTGGGAATGCGTTTGGTAAATGCAACCCGAATGAGTTTTCTTGGTATTTTATTCTCATAAATGTCAAAGAATACTCTAAAAAGTGATACTGTTTATACTTTTTTTAATGTCATATGTTTTTTGCACTATAAATTTTTTTTATAATGTTAGTACGAAAATTAATATTAAATTATGAGGTAGCAGAGAGTTAAAAAAGAATTCAAAAAATATGTGACAGATGGCTAAAGAATCTCTATAGCATTTTTTTTTTTTTAAAGAAAGTTTTATGATTTGTGTATTGGTTGCTAACTAGCTATATTTGTAAGAGGGTGGCAATTTAATTTCGAACATGGGATGTTACACTTTCGATGTGTACATAGTTTAACACGATTAATATTGTTTACCTAATATTATTTATATATAAGGGTCGAAAAAAAAATAAATTAAAAAAAATTAAAAAAAAAAAACCTACCTAGTGTGGTTAGTGATGGCCATTATATTTTAAAATATATTTTAATTAAAAAAAAAAGTAAAATTAAGCAATAAAAAGGAGACGATAAGAGGTTAATAATAATAAAATGACAGTATTTTATTTTATGAGTTATTGTATTAATATATTAATCAACTGGTGAGTTGACACGATTATATGAAAATAAATAGGTAAACGTGAACACGCACAATTTCCACCCCAGGGAATAGCCAACGCATCTAGTTTGTCTTAATACAATTTGTAGAAGAGTTTTTTTTTTTTTTTTTTTTTTTTAGTACATCGATATTTTTGCACTTTCGGTTAAACCACGCAATGGGCAGCCTAATTTGGTATTGAATTTGTCATTCACGAGATTCGAACATAAGATCTCACACTTTCAGATGAAGAGATACCACCAGACCGTAGTACTGAATAGCAAAATATTGTTAAGCTCAATTACCCATCCGCAGGTAAATGATTATGAGTATTTTTCATTTTCAGATACCATCTTGATGGTGTAGATCAATTTTACGGACCGTTTGTGATAAAAACTCGTAAATTTTGTGGAGCCTATTTATGTGCCACATTAGTACTTAACAAAAATTTTAACAGAATTGTGAGGAAAAGACCACATTGATTAATTTTCAATTTTAAAGGTCATCTTGATGGTGAAGGTTAATTTCAAGAACCATTTGTTATAAAAATCCTAAATTATAATCAAACTGGTAGGAGATCTAACAAGTCATAGGCAAAGGATTTCAAATTCAAGAACTTAAAACCTCATTTGGCATACACGATTGAATTTGAATGAATAAGGCAGCATTATTTAGAAAGTCAACATTCCAATCCTAGACACAAAACGAGGCCGTATATCGTCCTCAGAAGCATCTACCAATTCCAGTGAACATTCAAAATTTTCAATTAACATCATAAGGTAGCAGCTAATGATATTCTAATTGCGGGTATGAACTTGAGATGCTGAAGGCTTGTCTGGTCTCTCTGTCCGAGACCCCTCCGTCTTGTCTTTCCTCCCTGCAAGAATCATGGAAATCTGCAGGCCTCTGCTGAATGCTTGGTTGAAGAGCAAACGTGTTTGGAACTCTGAGACAAACGGGAACCATGACAAAATCGCTATCGGCATGAAGATTACTAGCCCCATTATGTAATCGTATGCTCTTCCAAGCTCCATGATCGATTCCCAGAATCCTAGCCCTTTGAACATTGGCCTGCATGCTTGCCCGATCTTGAAACAACGAAACAAACCCATTGGTTTAGTGGATACAATCAATTACGAAAAGTTTGGGACATTTTTTCTAAGCATAATTTTGAGACTGGTATGTCGAAATAAACAAACTTTCGGACGCTTAAACTACAGAGAACATTTCACATACCAGAAGAAGGGCCCAGCCTGTGGGTAGGAAGGCAAGGATAGCAGCAAACAGATCTGAAATAGTAAGGCCACAAACAACAAATAGGACAGTCATGACTGACATGAAACCAAGAAACAAAAGCGCTTTCAGAATCCTGAACATGAGCTGAAAGTCGGTGCCAAATCTTCGTCTACCCATGGAAACCATCTGATGCAAACATGCAAAACAAGCAACATCAGATCAGATTAAGAGATATCTACATATTATCCTCCGAGAATAAAACAGCATGTTCATGGCAAAACCAAGTCAAAACATTTAGCATCATACATGCTTATTATTATTCGTGATTTATATTTGCATACCTTTAAAACGAGAAGAACAGTTACCATAACTATCCAAGAAAGTCCATAAACCTGCAAAGAAATTGAAAAAGTCGTAAAAAATAGGCCTTAAGCCTAAACAACTATCTATAGGCCAAACCGGAGAACAACTAGGCAAATATAATGGAACATTACCAGTAAACTCTTGCTGTGATGGGCTATGTCAAGGTGGTAAACAATTCCATATTGGTAAATAAGGAACCGCAGCGCAAGTATTATCTCAAGAATTCTTCCCCGGATAACTGTGTATTTGAGGTGTTCCTGTTCTTCATTCCACCATGATTCCCAACTTTTGTCAGGTGCTATCCCAATACCACCACGATTTCCCATCCACCTCTTCCATTCTGTCCAATCATCTACAGTTTTCTGCCAGTCAAAGCTGGACGGATTGAATATGAAAGGAGCAAACAACCAGGAAGCAACCAGAAACCACATGGACAGAGTGATGAAAAAATAAAGATTTGAACTCCTATACGCTTGCCCGTAGACTGCATACACAATCAGCAGAATAAGCAATTCCAACCCTTTCACAAAGTGACTGCGCGAGTAAAGTCTGTAGTTCTCGGAAAACTTTGCATGGAAAACAACAAAACCACGGCCAGTTGCTCGGTATTTAGATCCTCCGTGTAAGATTGTCCTTCCATAGTAATGAGCTTTTGTTCCTAGCTGGAATGTGAAGAAAACAGAGGCCAACTGCAGCTGCATGATGATGAGATCACCCAAGGCACTGCGGAACCCTTTCTCTAGGCCAATTTCCATGATCATTGGAAGCACAAGCAACAAGCCCAGTTGAAAGACAGACTGGGTAGCCAAAGCCTCTTCGAAGGCTTTGTTCTCATGTATGGTTGGATTCTCCAGGATCTCATTCTCTAATCCACTCATAACCAGGTACATACGTCCATACAAAAACACATATACAGTCAGCACAGTTACCTGAAACAATATAACCTCTGTGTCAAGCTGCAATACATACTTCAATTGTAAAATACTACAACCATTTACGCACATATACACAAAGCCAAAGACAACCAAAACGCATCCTCAAAACTTTAATTATGCCCTTCCTATTGATACAATTCTCAGATTCAATAAATTTATTGTGAATACAGCTGGCTGCTTTATCATCTGTAACTACTGCACCTGTCAAGGACATTGTATTGGTAACATCTAATCATCTGGGAAATCTTCTCTTAAAACATGAATCAAACACAGCCAACCTAGTCCTATAGAAAAAGGATGGTTTGGTGAATTGCAAAGACTGCATTGACATCCGATGTGTTGTCTACGCAATCTACTCAGTATAAAATACTAATGGAACAAAGTAAATCAATAGACAAAGGAGATTAGTTTTCGCTAGCATACCAAACTACTAAAATAGAATCCAACTGTTGTGAAGTAAAAGGAAAGCATTCTGTAGAAATCAAACCGACGCCCAAGCCGGTAAACATCACGGCTAAGTGTCTGTTCTCCATTTCCATTTGAAACCTTAGCCTCAAAAAGTGATATTTGATTCATTCCCACATCACGCCCCTTGCCTACTTGGATATACTCGTGATGCGTTATAAATCCCCCACGCATAGTTGAATTGTACCCTGAAGACATCAAGACAATTAGTCAACAGATATAATACTAAGTTAGTGGATGATCTTGTTAAGAATGGAAAATTACCTGCAAATATATCCTCGCTTAAGTTTATTACTTTTGAAGCTTTGCTTATGCCACCCCTTGTTATGTGGAAGATTCTGTCAAATATATCGGGATGACCATAATGGAACCGTACCCTGTCAAGTTGGAATGACATTAGATAGGTAGTGGAATGGTAATTGTATATAAATAACAAACAATTGAGGATTGGATTACAGTTCTGGTCGCTAGAGTTGATGGATATTAATCCTCTCACCACGCCCAAACCCAGGAATAAAGTGCAAAACAAAATTAGAATGCAGCTCAGTCAAATGTAAAATTACGGCTTACCTCAGTGGATTTGCCAAAATTCTTTGGCCAATAGTTACAAAACTGGTCTCTTGATTCGACATGAACCAAGCAAGTGATGAAACACTGTACATAAAGAAGGAAAATGAAAAATGAGAGCATAACACTACTATTTCAACTAGTCAACCCATAAAGGTCCATAAATTATGAACATATATTAAAGGGCTGACCTTCCAGTGAAAATATGCTCCCTTAGACCCAATATTGTAGGTTTTCGTTGCCCACGACGATGCTTTAAGAATTCCTCCAACACATTTCTCATCTTGAAAGCTTCTTCAAAGTAATTATCCTTGAAAAAAAAAATGAATAAAGCACAATATAACAACCTTTTTCCTCTTTCAGTAAGTGGCCCACCTTGTAAATAATTTTTACATAAAGACACATGGAGAGCTACCTGATTCATGTCTATTGTCTGCAGGGCTTCGCCACGAGTAAAGATAATGGCATGATTTTGATTTTCAGGTTTTCCTTCGCCAATATCTGTAGGAGGACCTGGGAGCTTGATGCGGTATATTTCCTGGCAATGCAAGCAAAGGAAGTATTAGTTATCAATTGTTGGCTACATTCGATACAGCTCATATGAGTGCACTAATCCCAATACAGGCAGGAAGGACCAGCTCCTAATTACTCCATTATATGTGTGGACTCATCAACACTTTGATTATAGATGAAGCTTCTCTACAACAAAACTGGCATCAATCAAAAGTAATACTGCTTGATGTACATTATACATCTATGTTGTATGAGAGTAAGTTTCTTTCTTTTCCTTTTTAAGTCCGATACTCTTACCCTCCATTATTCTTCTATTTTATTTATTAAGAAAAATCCACAACCTCTCTTACGCTATTATTCTTG